TCTTAATAAAAACAAAAAGGTTTTCTTATTTGGCAGAAACATCGTAGTTGTGTTGCTCCAAGCCTTGCACACGTGTCCTGGTGATCGTTCCTCACACCACGCAGAACTGTTCCCCAGATCACCTTTACAAGGCCATATTCTGGGTCATGGCTCTCACACCGTCACACTCTGGATGCAAGGATGCTGTCGCGACTGATCTGCTTGTCATATTACCAGACAACGTCCAGGAATTCTTCTCTAGAGTTTCACAACAGCTTGTTCTTCTTGATACACTTTTTTCATCTTTTCAAATGTTAATGTGTTCGCTATAGCTTACCGTGGGTTTTTTTTATTGTGGGTGAGGATGGACAGAATGTTTGTTTATAAGTCGACTGGGAGTACAAGGAACGCGAGTGGTGGCTGGCGTATACTGCGTCACTGTGCTTGGCCAGGTCAGTGGGTCGCGCACAGCCTGGCAGACCTCTGACGCCAGGCTCTTGTCAATGTCTCTAAATCACCCGGGTAATGAGGCAGTCATCATGTCGGACAGTGCTTAAACAAACACTTTTAATGGCGCTTATCTTAATACGCCGCTGGTTACGCCACAACTAGAGCGGAGCCCGGTGCCTCCATAATGAATGAGGTGGGCGGCTAGTTCATGCTCAGTTGGCGGCCCTCCCGGACGCTCGCCTCCCTCCCATTCATCTTCTCGCTACCCTTCACAATGGACGTACTGTTACCCTCCCCACGTGGATATTGTTCCGTGTAAACAAACTCTGTGCCTCTTGTCTACGTTTTCCCACTTTAAGCAGAGTGTCTGCGGGATGACTGACGGCTTGTTAGTGGCGGAGTGACGGTGCTGTACTGATGTAGCTTCATGACTCCCTCAGGGAGGAAGGTACTATTGCAGGAGGAGTCTTTCCTGAGAATCGTCTTGGGCAGGAAGCCTGGCATTGTCGGTCCCAGTCAAAGCCGCGTCACAAAGGACACCCTGCGTGCCGCATCCACGAGGGAGGCAGTAGGGAGGTGGACACCTACCACCTCACAGCTACTGCAAGTGTCAGCGACTGTATCTCTTTCTCTCTCTCAAAAAAAAATCGTTTGTTGTAGAAAATTTGCAGTTGTCTTTATCCTCTTTCTTCCACTCTGTCATGCTATGAATATGGAAAGTTTTATTAAAGTTGAACTAGTTTCTGAGGTACAATATTTACATGTGTCCTCACTTACTGGTTTCGTTTCATTATTATAGTTAACGTCTGTGGTGAATATTTGTACACCTTTGGGTACTAGAATCACGTTTTCATGACTTTATAGTGGTAGAGATCACATGCAGAGCAAGAAGCACTTTCGCCGTGCTTCCAAATTTGGTAATAGTTGTGTCAATTCCCCGCGTAGGTGGTCTGGGCTGTGAGGGTCGTCCAGGAGCTTGTCCCAAACCTTCTTCCCTAGGCGATGGAACCTGACGTTGAGGGCCTCTGTTTTATTTCTCAGGTGGATGGTTTCCACTGTCTTCTGGTAGGGTGGCGCTTGGCCACTGGCTGACCTCAGACACTTGTTTTGGAAGCTCTGTAGTTGTTGTAGTCTGGTCTTCCCGAGTGTGACGAGTGGTACGTGTGGGTACTCCAACACGGGCCACACCAGCGCCTTGTACAGCTGGACTTGTATCTTCTCAAGCATCAGTTTAAAATACTTTGGTTTTGTCCTCAGACTTGCTGCAGACATGTTAATAAGATTGACGCGTGTAAAGCCTAGTTATTTCAACTCTGTATATCATGGTTTGGACGGACATATTCAACATAAAAGTCGCGGTTGTATATACCATATCGTAACTAACCATCCTATATACAGTATGTACGTCGCCATGATTATTTACGTTGTGTACAGTGTAAGTTAGTTTCTGACCACTGTTAACGTAGTAGTTCTCAGAGGGGTACAAGTGTATTAGCCAGTGGTTGGGGAATACCGTGTTTTCCTAAGGTTCGTACTCGTATGTCGGTGAGCTGAAGAATACCTTTAGAAATGTGTGTTATGAAAACTGACACAAAGGGACTGAAAAACATTCAAAGGTGATTACGTGCACTAATTTGCATTTGCATATTTCATTGCAAATGCATATTTTACCGTGATTTCTATGATAAGTGCATATTACCTAGATAACTGCATATAAATGCATATTTTGGTAAAATATTCATCTGGCAGTATCTCTTTGTTGCCACTGAATGAGCACACGTGGTACTGGGAGGTGAGGTGAGGTGTGGTTAGGTGAAGTGAGGTGAGGTCACGTCGCTTTAATCTGTCGTTTCCACACCTGGTCATGACTCATTGGACTAGTGAGTTAGTCAGTCAGGAGCAGTGCTGCTGTGTGGAGCTACTCTCTTCTGCTGCTCGTGAAAATGCCGAAAGTACAAAGAAACCAAAATGAAGTGCTGAGATCATATGTAAAGGAATTTGATGCATTTACTACTGATGGAAGTGTACTGTTTTGTAAATATTGTGAAGCACCAGTGTGACTGGTAGAGAAATGTGAGTGAATGTACAGCTCCTAGCTGCTATATTTATACTTAAATAGTTATCACAATAATACTTACTTACTTACTTACTCCGTTGGCACTAAATACCATTAAGGCTCTTGGTAGCTTTTAACTAAGCCATCGTCGTCGATCTCTCTCAACCTCTTCACTATCTCCTGGTTCTTCATCAAACATTTTCTGATCTCTATCAACGAAATCCTTCCGACTGGTTCTGCACGTCAACAAACACGGCCAGTGAGCACGTTCTCTGGTTTCTATTATAAACAAGACATCATCACTCACCGTTGAGAGAGCTACATCAGTGCTACTCCCGCTGAACTTTTATTAATTTGTTCAGTAACTTTTTTTTTTAGGATTGTTACCCGTATTATATTGAATCCGGCGGCCAAGGGAATACAGCCGCTTGTCTCTTATCCTAAAGGTCACTTGTTCGATCCCGGGGTACTCCTGCCTCCTTGTGTACCGAGGCTTGGTTTACAGTTAGGTCTATAGGACTCACACTCACTTCCACCCAAATCATATTCCTACCATGTCTGTTTTTCCTTTATTTAGACGAACATTGGTCATTAACTTAACAATAAATTTAACTGGAATCTTCTTTTGTGCCTAATTTATCTTAGTGTTTTCATAGTTCAGTACACAATAGTTCGGTAGTGGCTGCTGGTATTCACCCAACTCACAGTTATACACACTGGCGGCACCTGGTGTTGTGGCTCTCAAAATAAAGGCGTAAGCAGACATCACTGAGCCAATGTTTTCATCTACTGTCGCCACTCATTCATCTGGGACTCGTACACAGTGTAGTGAGTGCGTGTGACCTCAACCTTACACCGTACACACATCACAAGAGTGTACTGTACTGTAAGTCCTCTATAGAGTGTACCTGTGCGTTAATTGATACACAAGTACTGTAGGGATCTAACAAGTAAAACAAAACATCTCCCACGATAAACCTTCCTGGCTATAATGAGAGTATGAAGTCTTTGGTGTTGTGTTTCCTTGTAAGAGTGTGTGGGGGGAGGGGGAGGGGGAGGGGGAGGGGTTGGTGCTACAAGTGACCATGTAAAGAGACGCAACACACTAACTGCAGACTGTAACACTGACAGCCTGAAGGTGTATATCTCATCTTCCATTTCACCGGAGATCAGAAACACAAGTCACACACATACAGCCAAACTACAATGTAACCACACACACACACACACACACACAACCACACTCCAACCAAACCACACCACATCAACGACCACAACAACCACAATAAAATAAATATACACAACAACTTGAGCGTCCCAACACACTGCTCTCTCAGTCACTCTGCAGACAAGAATGACGAATGCCAGACACAGTAGTTCTTGGCTCTTCCCTTCCGACGCCTTCCCCCTACTTCCCTTCCCCTCCATGCCTCTACCCACGCCCTCCCCTCACTCCCCCCATTGTGGTGGTGTGAATGAGGGGAAGTGAGAAGTGGCTGAGGGGAGTGGTTGGGTGAGAGAGATGACTGACGAACACAGACTTAAGTAGCAGGAGTCATGATAAGGATCACATTACAGAGGCCGGTGAGTGAGTTGTGTCTCGAACAATATAAATATACAAGTACGGTACAACACACAAGTCTTTACCGAGGCTGTGGGACAGAACCTCTTGAAGAAAACCGAACTTTTATTATTATTGGACTCCATGTACAGACTAACTAGAATCACAGTCGATATAATTACACATAAAGTATCAATTAAACATATGAGGGTGTTCCATGACCCATACACAATAGTAGTAATTAAGCCACACAGGGAAAGTTGGTTGCATCACGCTGCTGGATATGATGATGTACCTAACGAAAGGCCACAATATTTATTTTTTCTTACGTTTGTATTAAATGTTTAGACTCATTTACCGGTTTACCCTTCAATTGCTTTTTAAAACCCACAAAACATCTTAGTTTCCCTGAACCTGTGACCAATGGATTTTGTTTACCAGTGTGTAGTACTGTGGAGGGAACCATACACTTTACCGCATCTTTTATCTTATGGTTATAGCTGAGCGGACACTGATTTTTAACGCCTCTTGGCTGGTCGTGGTCACTCACCATTCGTAAGGCGTGTGGCAGGTGTACACTGTTTGGGCTTTTAAACGTTGACAAAATTTCGGATAGTATTCTGGGATGACTGAAATTGCGGATAATTGACGTCTGCGATTAATTGATATGTGGATTATCGAGGAGTAGAAGAATAAACACAACGTTGTGATGAATGTGAAGAATACACAGTAACTGAACAAAGTAAACAAACCAAAGAGCTGATGGTCATTCCTGTTAGACATATTACTGGTCTAATAAAGTTTACCAGGGAATAATTGACTTTCCTCAGGTGACCCATAAATGTGATCCGTCAGTATAACGATAACATGTAGTGGTGTAAGTTATACGATACAGAGGCTGGTGAAGATACTGAACTTACTTATCATTAATGTCCATCCCTTTGTTCCGTGCAGGTGAGCGGCGGGTGGCGGGGATCCTGCCCCACCCGCGGGGGCCCATCACTGACGCCTCCCCCCTGGCTGGCGACGCCACCTTCGTCAAGCCTACCCCAGACGCCGACGGCTCAGTGGGAGGGGAGAGCGTGCCTGTTGCTGCGGTGGCCCCCCGCACCCCAACAGCCGCCTCCGCCGCCCCTGGAGCCCCCACTGCTCCCCCGGGCCCCTCACCACCCCCAGCCCTCACCAATGTGGTCGACGACGGCAGAGAGTCCTGGGGAAAGTCCATGGACTTCCTGCTCTCCATCATCGGCTTCGCCGTGGACCTGGCCAACGTGTGGCGCTTCCCGTTCCTCTGTTACCGTAATGGTGGAGGTGAGTGCCGCACCAGGTCAGGTCACTGGAGTACTCTATTGTGTGACCAAACATCCCGGATCTCAGCTCATAATTTTGTTTATTAATACCGATTTACAGTATATTAAATATTAAACCTATTAACTGTTTTTGTTGAAGGTCGAGTCTTGCCTTACAACCTGAGTGAAGGAGTATACAGTATGTGTCGTCCATAACTGTTATCGTGTTGGTTCCCGCAGGTGCCTTCCTTCTACCCTACTTCCTGATCACGGTGTTCGGGGCCCTCCCGCTCTTCTTCATGGAGCTGGTGCTGGGCCAGTACAACCGTCAGGGACCCATCACTGTGTGGAAAATTTGTCCCCTCTTCAGAGGTATGTCACTCCACACCCAGGGCCCTTACTCCACACCCAGGGCTCTCACTCCACACGTGCTATAATACCCTACTTGAGTTGTTACTTTATATGTGTAGCTCCAATAATAATAATGTAAACAATTGATGTTCCAGAGGCAGAAAATACACACACACACACACACACACACACACACACACACACACACACACACACACACACACTCGTCAATTTCTCTTTATCAATCTCACCGTGTCACTCCCCTACTCATCCATACTATTCCTCTCACTCTCCTTCTCTCTTTCATTGCCCTCCCTCCCACCTCCTTACTGCCATTTTCCTCCCTCCCTCCTTCCTGCATCCTTCCTATTCTCCCTCCCTCCCTCCCAATACCATACCCCTTCCCAACTCCTTTCCTTCCTCCTCCTCACCCCCTCTCCTCCCCCCTCCTCATCCCCCACTCTCCCTCCTGCCTCCTCACCCCCTCTCCCTCCCGCCTCCTCACCCCACTCTCCCTTCCCCCCCTCCTCCCCCCTCTCCCTCCCCCTCCCCTCCCCCTCTCCCCTCCCCCTCCTCCCCCCCTCTCCCTTCCCCCTCCTCCCCCCACCTCCCTCCCCTCCCTCCCCCACTCTCCCTCCCCCTCACCCCACCTCTCCTCCCCCTTCTCCTCACCCCCCCTCCTCCCCCTCTCCCCCCCTCCCCTCCCTCCTCCTCACCCCCACTCTCCCTCCCCCCTTCTCACTGGGTCACCTCCCCGGCAGGTGTGGGCTACTGCGCGGTGCTGGTGGCTTACTTCGTCAGTTTCTACTACAACGTGATCATCGCCTGGTCACTCCACTTCGTGTACGCCTCCTTCAGCTACGAGTTGCCCTGGACCTCCTGTAACCACACCTGGAACACAGACAACTGCTGGGACGGCCTCACCTCCGAGGAGCCTCGCCCTAACTCTTCCAGTCTTATGTCTCCTTCTGAGGAATATTTCAAGTAAGTGGAGGAGAGGGAGAGAGAGAGAGAGAGAGAGAGTGTGTGTGTGTTAGGAGAGAGAGAGAGAGAGAGACAGACAGAGAGAGAGAGAGTGTGTGTGTGTGTGTGTTAGAGAGAGTGCGTGTGTGTGTGTGTGTGTGTGTGTGTGCGTGTGTGTGTGTGTTGAGTGAGAGAGAGTGTGTGTGTGTGTGTGTGTGTGTTAGTGAGAGAGAGAGAGAGTGTGTGTGTGTGTGTTAGTGAGAGAGAGAGTGTGTGTGTGTGTGTGTGTGTGTGTGTGTGTGTGTGTGAGAGAGAGAGAGTGTGTGTGTTAGTGAGAGAGAGTCATCTCAGAGGAACACAGGTCTAATTCTTCCTCTAGTGGAGAACTTCAAGTATGTGGCGTATGGGGCGATGTGTGTGGGGGGAAGACTAATGGGTGGGAGGGAGGGTGATGAAGGGGGGGGAGAGAGGGAGGTGTGTGGAAGGAAAATTCGAGGAAGGAAGGAAGGAAGGAAGGAATGAAGACAAGTCGACAGATAAAAACAAAAAAAAAAAAAATTGAATAAAACACAGGATGGATAAGAGTGTTTAGGGTGAGGGGTTGTAAAGGAGACAGACAGACAGACAAACGGACACACAGAGAGAGCGGGGGGGGGAGAGTAGCAGTAAAGTATCCTGACCTATACTAACCTTCAAGTTAAGTTCGTCTCCTCAAACAACACAAGGTTCAAGAGGTCGCCTTAATCTCTCGCTAATTAAATTTATCATACGTCACTGACACGTCACCACCACGTCACACAACATCACTACCACCACCACCACGTAAACAGCTACACCTCCCTTCTCATACTCGTCTCTTACCTCTCATCCCTCACCCTCCACCCCCCCACACCCTCTCACCCCCCACACACCCCTCTCACCCCCACACCCTCTCACCCCACACCCTCACACACCCCTCTCATCCCCACCCCTCTCACCCCTCACACACCCCACCCTCACCCCCCACCCCTCTCACCCCACACCCCCCACCCTCTCACCTCCACACCCCCCACACCCCCTCCACCCCTCTCACACACCCTCTCACCCTCCACACACCCCTCACCCACACCCCCACACATCCCTCTCACCCCCCACACCCCTCCCCACCCCTCTCATCCCCCACACCCCTCACGTCCCTCCTCACCCTCACACCCCTCACCCCCACCCCACCCCTCTCACCCCCACACCCCTCTCACCCCACACCCCCACCTCTCTCTCACCCTCACACACTCTCACCCCTCCACACCCTCTCACCCTCACACCCCTCTCACCCCCCACACCCCTCTCTCACCCTCAGTTACGTGGTACTACAGATGGACAAGAGTGGTGGCTTCGACGACCTGGGTCCTCCTCGGCCCAGCCTGGTCTTCTGTGGCTTCATTACCTACTTCATCCTCTACCTGTCTCTCTTCAAGGGCGTCAAGTCCTCAGGTGAGTCACTAGTCGCTGAGTCCTAGTTCATAGTCGCGGAATTCTAGGTCGTAGTCACAGAATCCTGGGTTGTAGTCGCTGAGTTCTAGTTCACTGAATACTAGTCGCTACATTCTTAGGCTTAGTTGTTAGCAGGCCTTTGATGAGTCCTAGTTGTTGAGTCCTAATAATTGTTAGTAGCTGAGTCTTAGATGCTCGTCACTGAGTACCTGTCGGTTCTACCTAAGACTAAATACTGGTTGATACTCGTGGGAATCCTTAGTACTAGTTGCAGATTTAGTTACGATCTTGAAAAAACAAAAAATTCATCATTTAGAAATCGAATAACATGAAAACGTAAAAGGATTTAATTGGGTTAGAATCAAGAGGCCATAGTTCACTTTATTCTGGTATTTTCTCGCCACCTCACCTCACCTCACCTCCCCTCCTCTTCATCCTCCTCTCCTCTCCTTCCTTCCCCTCCCACCCTCCTCCTTCCTTCCCTTCCCACCCTCCTCCAAGTTATTTTTTTGAACTCCTCTTTGAGATTTTCATTTAAAATTGTCCTCGAGTGAATGTTTAAGGGGTAACTATCGTAAACAGTGTCCATGTGAGGTCTGGTGTCGCAGGTTTAAGGGGTAACTATAGTAAACAGTGTCCATGTGAGGTCTGTTGTCGTAGGTTTAAGGGGTCTTTGAGATTTTCATTTAAAATTGTCCTCGAGTGAATGTTTAAGGGGTAACTATCGTAAACAGTGTCCATGTGAGGTCTGGTGTCGCAGGTTTAAGGGGTAACTATAGTAAACAGTGTCCATGTGAGGTCTGTTGTCGTAGGTTTAAGGGGTAACTATAATAAACAGTGTCCATGTGAGGTCTGTTGTCGTAGGTTTAAGGGGTAACTATAGTAAACAGTGTCCATGTGAGGTCTGTTGTCGTAGGTTTAAGGGGTAACTATAGTAAACAGTGTCCATGTGAGGTCTGGTGTCGTAGGTTTAAGGGGTAACTATAGCAAACAGTGTCCATGTGAGGTCTGGTGTCGCAGGTTTAAGGGGTAACTATAGTAAACAGTGTCCATGTGAGGTCTGGTGTCGCAGGTTTAAGGGGTAACTATAGTAAAGGTCTGTTGTCGTAGGTTTAAGTGTCCATGTGAGGTCTGTTGTCGTAGGTTTAAGGGGTAACTATAGTAAACAGTGTCCATGTGAGGTCTGGTGTCGTAGGTTTAGGGGTAAACAGTGTCCATGTGAGGTCTGGTGTCGCAGGTTTAAGGGTAACTATAGTAAACAGTGTCCATGTGAGGTCTGGTGTAAGGGGTAACTATAGTAAACAGTGTCCATGTGAGGTCTGTTGTCGTAGGTTTAGGGGTAACTATAGTAAACAGTGTCCATGTGGTCTGGTGTCGCAGGTTTAAGGGGTAACTATAGTAAACAGTGTCCATGTGAGGTCTGTTGTCGTAGGTTTAAGGGGTAACTATAGTAAACAGTGTCCATGTGATGTCTGGTGTCGCAGGTTTAAGGGGTAACTATAGTAAACAGTGTCCATGTGAGGTCTGGTGTCGCAGGTTTAAGGGGTAACTATAGTAAACAGTGTCCATGTGAGGTCTGTTGTCGTAGGTTTAAGGGGTAACTATAGTAAACAGTGTCCAGTGTCCAGGTTTAAGGGGTAACTATAGTAAACAGTGTCCATGTGAGGTCTGTTGTCGCAGGTAAGGTAGTCTGGGTGACGGCGACGATGCCCTACGTGATCCTGACGCTGCTGCTCATACGAGGGGCGCTGCTCCCGGGGGCGGCTGACGGTCTTCTCTACTATATCAAGCCATCCATCTCTGCTCTCTCCAACTCTCAGGTATTGTACTCTTCCTCACTAGGTACTGTACTCTATATCACCCAAAGTATTGTATTATTTAGGACTGTATTTTCATGGCAAAATATATCCAAGTTATTGTAGGTTTCACTTACGATCCCTTACAGCAGTTTAGTTTATTTTGAGAAAACATCTTCTTCTTCTTCTTCTTCTTCTTCTTCTCTATACGATATTTCTCATGTCAATAATATCAGGTTTAAGATTGTATCAGAAGTTAGGTTAGGTTAGTTTACGTTGGAACCTGTTAAGATCGGAGTTGAGTTATTTGACCAATCACCCTCCTACACACACACACACACACACACACACACACACACACACACACACACACACCTGTTCACTCCTGTCATGGTCCTCTGGCAGGTGTGGTACGAGGCTGCTGTACAGGTGTTCTTCTCAGTAGGGGCAGGTTTCGGCGTCCACCTATCCTACGCCTCCTACAATAACTTCAACAACAACTGCTACCGGGACTGTCTCATCACCAGCTTGGTCAACGCCTTCACCAGCTTCTACTCCGGGCTGGTCATCTTCACCTACTTGGGTTATATGGCCTTTAAGCAGAAGACTCACATCAGTACCGTCGCCACTGATGGTAAATGCTTGTTAAAATTGTGTTGTTGTTGTCATTACCATAGATTTGTCACTCTTATCTCTTTACCGCTTGGTGTTTACATTTATGATCGTATCTTAGTATGTATGCCCCCCCCCCTACACACACACACAGTTGGGCTTTTATTATAATTGCATTTTCATTCGAATTTGTTGATTATAATAGGACTCCATATAATGTAGTTGACCTGTGACCTGGAACTTACACCCCCCCTCCAACAGGTCCCGGGTTGGTGTTCCAGGTGTACCCGGAGGCAGTGGCCACACTACCTGGGTCACAGTTCTGGTCCTGCCTCTTCTTTCTTATGCTCATTGCCCTCGGCCTCGACTCTGGCGTGAGTACTGACCTAAATTATGTATTGGTACTCGCCTGCTGTGTCGTCACTCACTCCTGACTTTCTTTATTCGTTGACTCTCTCACCCTTACTAACCTAACCTAACTTAATTCACACACCTGCCTGCTGATCCCACACAACTGCCTGCTGGTCCCCCACAACTACCTGCTGGTCCCCCACAACTACCTGCTGGTCCCCCACACAACTGCCTGCTGACCCCACACAACTGCCTGCCGACCCCACACAACTGCCTGCTGATCCCACACAACTGCCTGCCGACCCCACATAACTGCCTGCTGACCCCACACAAGTGCCTGCTGATCCCACACAACTACCCGCTGCCCTCCCCTACACACACACACACACACGCCTGACCACGGGCGTCCCTTCCTCAGATGGGCGGGCTGGAGTGTGTGATCACTGGACTACTGGACGAGCTGAGACTGACCTTCGGCAGGAAGACCATCAGGAGGGAGTTTTTCACCGCCATAGTTGTCACTTCCTCCTTCCTCGTCTCCATCACCAGCTTCTGTCAGGTGGGTACAAAGTGTTCTTCCACCCTACGCTCCTCTTCTCGTCTCTATACGCCTTCCCCAGTCTTGCTTATAGTTCTAATATCCCTTTTTTGTTCAAGTTAGGAAATTCATTACCCTCCATTCCTGACCTAACTGCTGGATGGGTTTGTTTTTCCAGTGGGTCCTAACAAAGCCTCAGTCAACATTGTTTAATCGTGCGCGCAGTATTTGTCTCAGAGAAGTTACTGGCAGAAAAAAAATCTTTCTAAAATATTGACACGTGACAAAACAACAGGAACAGTCAGTCGCCTTCACAAGTGCGTTTACAGGGGCTCGTCATATAAACATTCCACAAATTATTATATTGAGGTAATTGTTTTAATATTGTTTTACTCTGATTTCATAGTTTGTTTACTCTTGCGAGTTTCCTTCTGTCGAATGTAATGAAACACAGGGCTGCCACACTGCAAAAACCTGACGAGCTCCTGTAAACACACTAGTGAAGGGGACTGTACCACCATCTCAAGGACGTCTGAACTGGGCTCAAACGTTATACAAATATCGTGTCATTTTGTTAATATCTACAGCATCATGATAAGGAAGACTTGCTATCATCTAGTGTAGATATTATATGACTGGTGTACAGTAGGTTACATTTTAAGATGTTTTATCCTTTGTGGCTCTATCTTAATAATGACTTATAGCAACACGTCTAGTAGGTAAACATAACAGTCGAATCCGGGTAGGTGGGGGGGGGAGCTCACGCTGAAGGCTGAAATCCAGCTTGAGAGTCTGGGAGCTATAGTGGCAGCGTCTGATGCACTTCGACTCCGGTTGGCTAATTAACTAACCAATCAATGACGAACATAGAGGAGGTAATCAAACACGTGCGAAGAACAGAACAGGAACACAGAGTTTTATCTCTCATAAATTTTAATTGGTGATGTATTGGTGTAATTACTAACCTTTTTTACACGCTTAAAAAACCTTAGTAGTTGAAGCGCAGTAATAACATTGTAACAACAACAGAACTACGGGGAGGGCACTCTGGATTCACCCAAGCTCGGAGCTAGAGTTTTCCATTGGGAGATTTATATTGACAAGGATTTTTGGCGTGATGTTCATGATCAAGGCCCTAGGGGGTGGGGGGCCAGGTGCAGGAACTCCCAGGAGCTCTGATTTCTTACTAAATCTAGGGAACAGGAATTAACCTTAATTCAATGTCATGAGGAGTTTGAGCCCCCGAACCTCCCCCCTCGACACACCACCATATCCCCCTGAATATGTTATTATTCACAAAATGTCTAAAGTGCTAGTGAACCACACGCTTGTTCTTAACAAAAATTATATTCCTAAAACAGTAACTATTCTGGAAGGGAAGAAAGGGAAGACTTATTTAATAATGTACATTTTTTTGGCATATTACACACACTACTTGATGGTGGTGGTGCAGGGAGGGATGTATGTGTTCCACTGGCTGGACACTTACGCAGCCGGCATCTCACTTTTATGTTCGGCTCTCTTCGAAGCCGTCGCTGTCTCCTGGTTCTATGGTAAGTCGGCTGTTATCTGCTTCTTGCATACCGGTTTTAGGTCTTATACATGAAATGGATAGATTCCAATTTTTTTAAATATTTTGTTATCTTCATAATACTCTTGCACCATATGTAAATAACAACACATGTATTTTATAACTAAATCTTTACTTGTCATTAATGATGTATTTGAGTAAAGTTTGTGTTGTGTGTTAGGTTTGCGGAGGTTCAGTGCAGACATCCAACACATGCTAGGCTTTAGGCCACGGCTGTACTGGAGGGTCTGCTGGAAGTTTGTGTCCCCGCTCTTCATCCTCATCACGGTGAGCAAGTTATTGTGAATCATCTTTACGTCTCTTCTTTTCGTCTTTACATGCCGTGCAAGATCAAGCAACTAGATTTTTGCGCATTATTTTCTAATTATAGGAGTACTGTACGGTTTTTTAATATTTGTTTCTTTGGGCAAAATGGGAGTTAAATCCTAGTTAGTACCTGAGTGAATACACTTGTAATCGTAAACCACAACTAATGATTTCGGTTACTTGTTAATTATGATATATATTCACTAGACTGTTTATAAATTTCAGAAAAATGACTCAAGTAGCCTACTATTCAGAAAATGGATTGGGTGGTCATTGTATCTGTTCGACCTTATTATTGTTTTGTTTGATCGTTGTGCAGCCTTATTTCACCTCCCTTACTGACAATAACGCCATAATTCCTCTCTCCCACGTACCCGGCCACCAGATACTGATCGGGCTACAGAGTCAAATTACGGGTCAGCTGGAATACCACGGCCCCACCCATTACAAGTACCCGCGCTGGGCCGAGGCGGTGGGGTGGCTCATTACCTCATCCTCCATGTTCATGATCCCTCTTTGGATGGTCATTACCGTCTGCCGCCAGCCCGGCTCTCTTAAACAGGTAAATGTCTACGTACATTGTATACCTGTGTTTATATGTAACATGCTGTATACTATATATATATATATATTATCCTCTACCGTTTTGGGCAGTCAGTCACGTCTCAATTACGCACAGTTGACAAGTACTGCTGGGCATGTACTGGCTCCAGAATATATCTGTACCTACGCCAGCGTTGGTCATGTCTGATCTTGAATGAGTTCACACTCGGTGCTGTAACAGACCTCTGACAGATTGTTCCAAGAGTTCACAATTCTCACCATGGCATTTTTCTGAACTTGTGGCTTCTTCAACCTTGAGCTGTGACCCTCGAGTGGGGCGGGCATCCGCCGTTAGTTCCAAGTAGGAACACTCAACTGAGTAATGCCCTCTAAAATGTTTATAAACTGAATCAGTACGAACTTAAAATGGCGATTTTACAGAATAAATATCTATATATCTCTATCATTCAATCTGTCTGTCTGCTTATCTATTTACCAATGTTTTCTACGTGAGTGTGTTGACTCTTTATTTTCCAAATTTAGAAACTGTCATGTGACTGAATTGGAGATAACCTTTCCTTAGACCCTCTGAACCAAGTCTTAGCAGCAGTTTATTAGAACACTTAGGTACAGCAACACTGTTAGAACACTACGTACAACAACACTGTAAGAACACTACGTACAACAACACTGTTTGAACACTACGTACAACAACACTGTTAGAACACTACGTACAACAACATTGTTAGAACACTACGTACAACAACACTGTTAGAACACTTCCTACAACAACACTGTTAGAACACTACGTACAACAACATTGTTAGAACACTACGTACAACAACACTGTTAGAACACATAGTACAACAACATTGTTAGAACACTACGTACAACAACACTGTTAGAACATTACGTACAACAACACTGTTAGAACACTACGTACAACAACACTGTTAGAACACTACGTACAACAACACTGTTAGAACACTACGTACAACAACACTGTTAGAACACTACGTACAACAACACTGTTAGAACACTACGTACAACAACACTGTTAGAACACTACGTACAACAACATTGTTAGAACACTACGTACAACAACACTGTTAGAACACTTCCTACAACAACACTGTTAGAACACTACGTACAACAACACTGTTAGAACATTACGTACAGCAACATTGTTAGAACACTTCCTACAACAACACTGTTAGAACACTACGTACAACAACACTGTTAGAACACTACGTACAACAACACTGTTAGAACACTACGTACAACAACACTGTTAGAACACTACGTACAACAACACATTGTTAGAACACTTCCTACAACAACACTGTTAGAACACTACGTACAACAACACTGTTAGAACACTACGTACAACAACACTGTTAGAACACTACGTACAACAACACTGTTAGAACACTACGTACAACAACACTGTTAGAACACTACGTACAACAACACTGTTAGAACACTCCTACAACAACACTGTTAGAACATTACGTACAACAACACTGTTAGAACATTACGTACAGCAACATTGTTAGAACACTTCCTACAACAACACTGTTAGAACACTACGTACAACAACACTGTTAGAACACTACGTACAACAACACTGTTAGAACACTACGTACAACAACACTGTTAGAACACTACGTACAACAACACTGTTAGAACACTACGTACAACAACACTGTTAGAACACTTCCTACAACAACACTGTTAGAACACTACGTACAACAACACTGTTAGAACACTACCTACAACAACACTGTTAGAACACTACGTACAACAACACTGTTAGAACACTACGTACAACAACACTGTTAGAACACTACGTACAACAACACTGTTAGAACACTTACTACAACAACACTGTTAGAACACTACGTACAACAACACTGTTAGAACACTTCCGTACAACAACACTGTTAGAACACTACGTACAACAACACTGTTAGAACACTTCCTACAACAACACTGTTAGAACACTACGTACAACAACACTGTTAGAACACTACGTACAACAACACTGTTAGAACACTACGTACAACAACACTGTTAGAACATTACGTACAACAACACTGTTAGAACACTACGTACAACAACACTGTTAGAACACTACGTACAACAACACTGTTAGAACACTACGTACAACAACACTGTTAGAACACTACCAGCAGATTAACACGAAGTATTAACAATGTGTAAACGACGCTTTATGTTACAGAGGCTGTTGCTGAGCATCACACCAGAGGGAGAGCACCAGAAAGTACTACAGACGGGTGAGGCCCCTTGCCTCGACTGTAGCCATTGGCTCCACCTGTGAGTCACCCACGCCCACCGCCACCTATCCCACGCCTCTCAACACTCTTCAACCCTCCCACGCCTCTACATTACGGATATAATGGCTCGCGTCTTCTCAGTTGTCAAGGAATTTTACATACCAAGGCAGTGACTACCTCTTTATAAAGAACGTCTTGTTGATTATTGTGTCATATCCAGGGAAAATCTATCTGGATGTTTGGCATACGTTAAACTTTCAGTGTTGGTGTTTATTAGTGGACGTAATGGTCTGTCCGTCAGCTTGTCAAGCATTATTCTAAGACTATCACAGTCCTATTTAGATATCTGTATAGCGAAGTTTTGCTGTTGTCCCTTTAATTTTGGACTATGGGGAATACTAAACCTTTAGACTCCCAAAGGTAAATATCATTCCTTCCTCTTCACTTAGCCTGAACTTATGTCCCAGTCTCTCTCGGTACCTAACACGGCCTGCTACCCCGTAGTCTGAGGTAGTGCGGCACCCACTACTATAATTAAGGGATGGGAAAGATGAGACGTAAACATTCCGACCACAGAGAGAATGACGGGTCCATTTTAATCAACGATAGCTTGAGTGCCCAGTGAGGACTTAAATGTGTATGAACAGTCTTAACCAGTAGTACAGTGGATGTTACCCACGTGCACCAATGAGAGGTTGTGTGACATATCCGAACCAATGGGTAAAAATGTGCACCGTCTGGATCAGTAAGCAGGGAGCTGCACCACCTGAAACTAAACGTTGAGTTGTACTATCTGGATCACTGGAAAGAAACGTACACCATCTATACCTAGTGAGCAAATGGTCGTTCCGTCAAGACCAGTGGATTGGAAGACAAATAAGTGAAGAAGAAAACGTGGATGTTGTCATTTAGACTCTGCAGACAGTGAGATGGTGGTTTCCTGATTTAGACCAAAACGAGAGCCGGGTGCCCCATTTGGATTATAAAAATAAGACTACCCTACATGGACCAAAGGGGGTAAGTGTACCATTTGGAAGGGACGAGACTGTGTGAGTCAGAAGTGAGTGTGCTGGTTATGCTGACGCCCAGTTTACCGTGCAGTGAAACACATCCGCCACCCGCCGCTCACATTTACAGCCCAGCTGGGTCTGGTTTCTCAAAGATTCGTATGTTTTATTTCCCCTTGTCCAAAGCTACAGATGTGAGAACGCTTCTGATTTAGTTTAGCTATGCCACAAATATGTTAAACAAAATTACATGGGAATTACTGTTGACTCGATTGTAATTTAACACGTTTTCACCTTCAAGAATAATTACGGGAGAAAAACGATGTGCGAACTTTTGAGAATCGAAAACCAGTTACGTTGCTCATCTGGTTTCCATGACCCTGGCCCCGGTTTCTCAAAGATTCGAAAGTTATTTTTCCTCCTACATAACTACGAATATAAAAGCGCGTCTATTTACATAACACTTGAGAGTTTAGACGCAAATGGGATGCTGACGTTATGGTGGAGTTTGGGTGAAAATCTAACTTACGAGTCTTTGAGTGTCCAGTGCCAGCATCTTTTTTTCCAACTACTACTGAGTTTACGACGAATAAAACACACAAACCTCGCTGATATGATGGATCACATACCAAGCTTCCTGTTAAAAAACATTATATGCATTTTTTTAGTGTTTAGACATTTTTCTTCCTATGCTTAGTGTTATTGTGAGAACAATTCATGGATATTATGTGGTGCGTCTGTTTTGTTATAATTTAGTTGTCATGCAATCCAGTCGGAACAAATATTCTCTTGGACAAAATACTTTGCGAGAACAAACTTCCACCCAGATAAAATTCCATCCACACGAAATTTTATAACAAAACTTAAAAGATAAACGACTTCATGGGAAAAAAAAATATCAGATTAAAATCAACTTCAACAAAATTGGGAAAAAATTAAAATAAGAAATACAGTAATCAGAGGCAGATTTCGTCAGAATAAAACTTCACTAGCAAGACCCCACTGAAGCAAATATTAAACTCCTGAAATAAACCAAAAACACGCACCAAAAAGAAAATCGCCATGACGGAAGGCATCGTATAAGACCCAACCGCAAAACAATTTCACGAATATTCCTTAGAAAATTTTTATTAACTAATATAATATGAAGGTGATCTGTTCTAAAAGTTTTACCGTAATAGAACTGCTTTCAAGAAAGGATTTTTGTCAAGAATGAATTGTGTTAAAGTGGAATTTAATCAGGTAATTATATATATTCCTAAAGGGGACACTCATGTCTGAGTGGAATTACCTGTATATGCAAGTCATATGCAATTAATATTTTTCCCAGAAGTAATACCTCAGTGGAATTTTGTCCAGAATAAGTAATGTTCAAGGGTTTTTTGTCTTGTAAGAGTTCTCTCATGGAGAATTGTCCCTACCTCGCTACTTGACTCTAGGGCTTAAGTCAACACATTATCAGTTACGACATATCTCTATATATCTCTCGGATAAATTTTTTAATGCAAACCTATAAATTCTATCTACATAATCGTATGTTCATTTCTATTGTTTGGTGTAATACCCAGCGTTATTCTTACCTCAGTAACCTAGCAACGACAACCTGACCTTTACAGCAAATCATGACTAATTTATCTATATCTTAATAACTATTGTTATATATAACTCTGAGAGCGTATATTTCAAACATCTATAAATTTATTAGTGATGATAAAACAAGTACAGTAAATAGATCATTTAAATAGGTCTCAATGACCATACTTTTGCATCATGAAAACTGTTTTTAGGCACTTAGTTGTGTTTTGTGTTGGTTGAGCTGATATCAATAGATAGTATACTGTGGGTTTCAGATCTAGAATTAAAAAGGTTTGCTTCCTGACTCTAACGCGGGAATGATTCAAAATCAAAACTGAACAATTTATTACTTCAGAAGACAATGACATTCGTAGTTAACGCTGGTACCATCTACATTAAATAAGGTTGCAGGAGTGTCAGGTGGCTGTGTTCGCTAGTAAGTAGTCTGCATAAAACCCGATTTCCTTCTGACACAGCTTTCACCAAATTTTCAGAATATAAGCTGATCGATTTTGGTTTTCGCTAAAAAATAGTTGAAGTGATAAAGGTTATTCCTACTATACTTAGATTTTTATTCCACGCATCAAACACTTGTTGTAGACCAGTTTTAAACTATGAACAAAACCCTGGCTCAATAATAAATAATTCATCAGTTTCACTTCTTCGGTCGACTTCATTAATAGAACATAGATTTAAAATAATATGGATACAATCAACAGTTAGTCTAGCAGTATTTTAACTCACCTGGCGGATGTGACTGCAGGTCTCCAGTACCTGTCAACCCAGTTTTTCTTGATCAGGTTTTGGGTTGACTATGGTTTTGGGTTCCCCGATAAAATTTCGTCATTTATTTTAGGTTTGCTACTCTTCAAGATTGTCGTACAAGGTCTTCGCTTTCATAATGGTTAATTGGGCACTTTTGTAGGGTAGTTTGATTTTCCCGCCACATGACATGTTCGGCATAACTGGATTTTTTTTTCTGCACAAAGTACACATTCCCGGGGGATGGTTTTAAAGCAGCTCATCACAATACAACAATATATTTTAATTTACTTTAACAGTTTAACTCCTCTGAAATCTTAGTCATTCCAGCATTTTACAAATATTTCTAAATCACAGATTTCAAATAGTCCAAAATGTATTTAATATAATAAAATAAATCCTTGTTGTGTTACAGTATAATGAACCATGTTGACGTCGAAGCTTCCCATACAACTTGTTTCACGACACTTAACCTCTCACAGTGCTCCAAATATATTTATGAGTCATCTTTTCTGATATCTAAAAGGTTAATAAGAATGCATTACCCAGCTCTATCACTTTATTAATTGAAATTACGTCTTCCTTTTTGGAGGGGAGGATTTTGATTTTTTAATAAAAAAGCAGACAATTTGAACAGGGTAACGAAGTTTAAATTCTGATAACAGCATTAATTAAATAGTAATACAGTAATAATTATCTGTTTTATTTAATTGTATTAAATCTTACGGGCAACTTTAACGTTTGTTACCTGTTCATAAATTACTCTCTATATCAAACCAACTTGGCAGAAACTTAATGGTAGGCCTATTCAGTCATCCTAGACCGTGATGGGTTTACAGACCCAGTGTCTAATTTAATTTACTTAATCAAGTACTGTAGTTAACTTATTTGCTTATATACTTGTTACTTTAGTATTTTAATATATATTATTCCTTTGTTTTGTTAAGTTTAATCACGTCATAATCAAATGTAACGTTCACTCTTTAGAAATTAAGTTGTGACTTACAGGCGGGACATAATACACATTAATGAAAATACTTATTAAACAACATCCTAATTGGTGTTACGTCCGGAAATTTGTAGCAAGACTGATGACTTTAGCGGGTTACTGTAAACAGAATCAACTTCGGTTCTGTGGGTTGGGGTATTTGGTGGCGCTGTTGGGTATTCTACACAATGTTCTCAACTTTAAATCCGTTATTTTTGTACAAACTATAGATAGTAAAAACTGTTGTAAAGAAACTTCCCATTAGAACTTTAAAGCTTTATTTTATTCAGGAATACAGATTATAAAAAAGTTGATAGCTAGAAATATACAGTGTGGTTCGAACATCCGTAGATTTTGTACGTACAATACATAGGAGAATTTATTATATTATAAGACTTCCTAGCCATTTCAACAGTATGAAAGGGTATAAGTTGAGTGAGTCACTACAAGCTGTGTTCAGTAGTTGTGAATGGGATATTTCGCTTCTCACCCATTCACAAGTGACGAACACACCCACAAGGGGTATGTCTCACTACCACCTACTACTATGGCAACGTAACTCCACAAGTACATTAGTTTTCTCTGAAAACAGTCTCTTGGGGGAGATGGATTACTTTCTTATTTAAAACCAAAGCTGCCATGCGCAGTAAATTTATCAAATGACGTTCATCTGTGGTCAAATGTGACATACTATCGTTGGTGTGCTGTTGCTGTTATCTTGTGCGATTTTAATGTTGTTATATGGTGTAATAACCAGCGTTCCTGTAACGCAGATGTTACACTTTGAATATAATATATAAACTATAATTTGTTATGTACTGCATCACATAATATAGAGGTTAGTAATACGTTACATGTTTAACTGGGAGACTACAAACTGTTCGTGGTGTTCGCGGGTATCTGACTATTGTATCTCTGTCAACTTGTTCTGTTTACCAAATGTAAAGTGTGGCCTACGGTCATTGTTCCAGTAGAGGTCATTAACTGACCTTTTTGTGTGACTTCGTGTCAGTGACTAGTAGACTGCACCCATGACTGATTTGTGTTCACTAGGGCTAACAAGCGGTCACTGCAGCACAGCCAAATGTTGCCGTCGCTTTAACTTATTTGTGTTGAGGATTACCTTGCGTTGTCGGTAGGTTGGCACACAATGCACTGTACTTAAAATTGTTTTAAGCAGTGTGTCAATATATAAACAATATATTTAGTACGTGTAAAATCATATATTCTCGGTAGAAAAAATATGTAGAAAGTGGTATTGAAGGTGCTTTATTTATTACTAAAGCCATTTTTTATTTCTTCATGTAGAGGTACAGTGTAGTGTTACAGTACCAGTGTAGTGGTAAATTCCACTGTAATGGTACAGTATCACTGTAGCAGTACAGTACCAGTGTAGTGGTACAGTTAAGTACGAGTGTAATGGTTCCAATGTAGCGGTACGGTACCATTGTAATGGCACAAAATATGCTATAGCGTATGGTACCAGTGTAGTGGACATTAATAGTGTAGCAGTACAGTTCTAGCTGCAGTACAGTACAATTTTAGTAGTACAAAACCATCTGTAGTATACAGTACAGTATAGCGATGTCGAACTAGTTGTAGTACTGCAGAACCATTGTAGCAGTACAGTACTAGCTGTAGTTATACACAAATAGCTGTAGGGTACAGTGCTAGTGTAGTGGTAGAGTTAGCTAAAGTGGTACAGTACTAATAAGTAAAGTTACCGTGCGAGCTGTACTGATACAACATTATCTGTTATGGTACTGTACTAGCTTCAATGGTACAGTATAATCTATAATGATGCATTAGTAGGTGTAATGGTACAGTAGTAAGTGGAGTGGTACAGCAGTAGTTGTAGTAAAACAGTTTATCTAGTACTGTACATAATATAGTTGTACAGTGTTGTCTGATGGTGACACTACTAACCCGGTAGGTGTAGTGGTTCAGTGCTAGTGGTCAGGGGCGGATCCAAGGAGGGGGGTCCGGACCCCCCTTTTCATCAGAAAATTCCAATACTTTTCTTTAATGCAATATTGTACTCAAACTTTTTTATCGTAAAAAGTAATTACTATTGTCCTCAATAACTCCTAATATCAAGTGTACATGGCTTCAAAATGGCCTCAAAATGCCCATGATAATAGTCAGATTTAAAAAAAAATTAATAAAAAGCTGGGTGGGCTCGCTGTACCCGCCATGTTATCTCACCCCACAACTTCTTGGACCCCTCCCCTTTGATATTCCTGGATCCGCCCCTGATGGTAATGATACAATACTATTTGTAGTGGTAAATTGTACAGCATTTGTAATGGTAAAATTTTATCTGTACAGTATTGGTACAGTTCCAGCTGTACTGGTACATTATTATTTGTAATGATAGAGTACTAGGTGTACTAGTACAGTACTTTTTTGTAAGGGTAGTGTTTGTACTGATGCAGTACTATCTATAATGGTACATTGCAAGCTGTAGTGTTACAGTACTAGCTGTAGTGACACTTATTTGTAATGGTACAGTACTATCTGCTGTGGTACAGTACTAGCTGTAGTGGTACAACTTAGGGTAGCTGTAGTGGTATAGTGCTAGCTTTAGTGGTACAGTACTAGATGTTGTGGTACAGTACCAACTGTTGTGGTACAGTACTAACTAGTAATGCAGTACTTCCTGTAGTGGTACACTATTAACTGTAGTTATACCGTAGCTGTATTAGTGCAGTACTAACTGTAGTGGTATTGTGCTAACTGTAGTGGTACAACACTAACTGTAGTGGTACAACACTAACTGCAGTGGTACAACACTAACTGCAGTGGTAAAATACTAACTATTGGCACATTGCTAACTGTAGTGGTACAGCACCTGCTGTTAAGTTATAATACAAGCTGTAGAGAACAGATTTTGACTATAGCCACCTGCTGACTGGTATCAGTTGTAACAAAATGCAAACAGCTGCTGTAGCCACCTGCTGAATACAGGTAGTATCAACTGCAGCAACACTCACCAGCCGAAGACATCAGCTGACTGGTATCAGCTGCAACACAACACACCAGCTGCAGCTATCTGCTTACTGGTATCAGCTGCCCGCACAAAAGTCGCTAGGAGAGCGGCTGTTGTACATAGCCTAGTCTTAAGGTGGATACAAAAAATTTTATTTGTTAGTGACTTGTCCGGGTGTACTCATTAGCCATATACTGTAGGTCCTTGTACTGTACTTATATTCATTATTGTATATATGTGTTTTAAATATGAGTAGCCTCTCATTTTTTTCACCATAGTTAGATGTATTGTATGTTTGTTAGGCTGTATCGTTGATGCTATATATATGTAGAACAAGGCAGGACAACACACCGCTCGGAGAATTTGTAGAGAATTGTGTACTAATGACGTAGCTGTTTTGTATGCTATCGTTTGATGTAATGGATTGTGAGATTAAAATGTAATTAACGTGATTTTTTTCCTTACTCCGATTTTACTTAGACTAGTATAATCCATAAGGTGTGGGGTTGGGCTCCAAAACATAACAACACCACTCACGTTGAAGGGTAAACACTAACATAGATAAGGGGAAAAAAGTCTTCTCGGCGGTAATGCGTCGGTTTTATGTTAAGGGGTTGGGTTAGGTTGGTTTGGGTTAAAAAATAATAGCACAAACTACGATAGTGTCCTCCATAAAACGGTTTGATATTATTTCACTTGTTGCCACTGCACCATCTCGGAAATTTTATAGTTGCAATCAATAGTTTTGACAATTCTAAGACACTTTTCTTCAATGACATTTATGGCGCAAATTACGTATAAGCGAGATATTTAACATTGTAATATGTATGAAAATTTAATCTTTCACGTGTTGCCACTGAACGAATGTCGTGAATTTTATAGTTGCAATCAGTATTGACAATTCTAGATTGGGTTAGGTTGGGTAGGGATTTGTTTTTCCTATGGTTTTCGATGTGTTTTGAACACTTTTTACCTTGATTTTTATAGCAAATCTCTGGATTCTGAGATGGGAAGGGTGCCTTATCTCAGAAACTATTGATTTGCGCCAGAAATAAAGGTCAAATTCGTTCATAACAGATCAAAAACCATTGGGAAAACAGTTTCAACTTCGATTTCGTATAGTGGCAACAAGTGAAATTTTACCAACGGTTTTATGTTACGGTTGGGTTGGGTTAAAAATGCACACACTACGACAGTGTCCTCTATAAAACAGTGAAACTGCGGCGGTTTTATAATCGCTTACTATGCTAAATCGTCGGCGGGTCAGTCGTCAATACTGCTCTATCGCAGATAGTGAGGAGGCGTTAAAAAAAATTGGTTAACAGATTAGAAGAAATAGGTGAAGAACATGGATTAAGAGTAAAATGCTGTCAAGACGAAAGTAATAGTTGTTTCCATATTGGAAATAAATCCTAAAATAAAAGTTATGGCAGGTAACAGGAAACTTCAACAAGTGCAAAAAAAAAAATTGGGTAATAACATTAGCTGTCATGTTAAATGTGCGAAAAAAATCATAATAAGAACTTTAATTTATCCTCTTCGTCTTCGCCACTGTTAGCCGCTTGGGCGGTCGGTAACATAGAACTCGCTGTTGGGCGCTAATGGGCATGTATTAGTTCCAGAATGTATCTGTACCTGTGCCAGAGTTGGTCAAGTCTGGTCTTGGTTGAGCTCACACTCGGTGCCGCCACAGCTCTCTCGGGCAGTTTGTTCCAAGAGTACACAACTCTCACAACGAAAAAAAAAAGTCCTGAAATTTTTATGAACTGCTTCTTCAACCTTCAGCCTTGACTCACCCTTAGTGGGGCGGGCATCCAATGATCCACCAGCTGCAGGTGTGAACATTCGACGAGGTAATTTCCTCGAACTCACATAGGTGTTTATAAACTCCAAAGCGGTGTACTGCGCACATTATAGTCATTCCTAAAAAAAACCCTGTAATTCATATTACGCTACATAGCATTCAAATCCACCGCGCTTGTAGAATCTCAGAAAACGGGAAATATTGATTAAGGATAACTCACCTACTCAATGTTACTGAATCATTTGTTGAATTGTACCCAGGTACGGTTATATAATATTAAGTGTATGTATTCATTGCATTAAGGAGAACTCAAGGTATCTATAGAAGATTGGGAAAGTCCAGTTTATCCGGACTAGTGTACTTTAGGACTAAGTGTAGATCGTGGTTTGAAGGTCATACTATTTACGTCTGTGAACGTTTAGCGAACATAACTTCCGCAGATATCATATGAAAATACATGAGAACAATGATCTGGAAAAAGGATAAATGTATCAGAACTATGTGAGGTGTTGGCAGTGACCCAGAAACTATACTTGAAAGGAAATATCTTGTATGCATCGGTGTGAACTTAATACACCTCGTATTCTCGTGTGACATATACCCACGACATGTTCAGTGACCAGAGAATCTTATGTCTGTGTTCAAGTAGTGCAATGTGTGAGAGGAGGATCCCTAATTACAGTTTTAAGTGAAGTGGATATACCCACGCCATGAACATTCGACTTTTGTTTCAGGGTAGCGTCCTTTGTACCCGGCTTAAAGGTGAGCGTTGTTGATATAGCCCAATTAATTTCCCAGAGACTGTCAAACCCGAACCATATTCAAGTATGTAAGTTAGGATTAAAATAAACGGTCACAATAAACGGGAAAGTGTTCATGTGAGACCCATAAGAAATCAAAGTAAAAATTAAAGATTGGAAACTGTAGGCCGACGTCGTGAGAGGCGCGGGAGTCGGGACCTCGAGCCTCAGTGGTACCTACTCTCTCATCAACACAGGTCAGTGAACTTCATCGGTCTGTATTCAGCCCTAATAAAAGAGACTTATATAGCAGTTATTACAGTTTAAAACTTTGCCTGATGTATAAAGTGAAATAGTTATGTGTTGGGGTGGGTGGTAACGGCCCATCAGCCATTATTTCTCAGTGGCACTTACTCTCTCATCAACACAGGTTCCCGGGTTTTTTAACTCACCAGAACGGCGGCCATTACCTCGTGCTGGCCCCACCATGTGAGATGACTACTCACGGCTACACTACTCCACTGTGAACCTGTGGATTCCCGACATACCACCACAAATGAGTAGGAATACATAATGGAATGCTTGAGAAACTCCGCGGTCGTCACTTGGAGCGACCTATAATACCAGGCGTAGAAACAGTACTGGTACGTCTCTTGGTGAAGCCCTCGTCTCTACCCACCGAGGGCGGTGTGCGAACGAGGTGCCTGATATGTGTACCTAGAAATTACTAGGAGTCCCATACCTGCAGGTGTGGAGTGTAACAGGTGTGTTGAGATGGTGCTACAGGGAGGTGAGATGGTGCTACTATGTATGATAACCTAAGGTGCAATATTCCATACAGGTGGAGCAGTCTGACGTGTTGAGTGTTATTGTAAGAAGGGATGACCGAGGTAAGGAGGTCAATGATTGTTATCGGGAATGAGTTTGTTAATGACACGCAATTAATGTAAGACGTCTGTTGTTGAGCAGTGTAACTAAAATCATAGTTGTTCTTCTGAGGATGGCCAACTCTTCTGGTATTTTGACGGAATGCAATATGTTTTATAAGGAATAAATTAGTTAAGACATGTTATTGTTTCACCCTTCTTCCCCTTATCGATTTGGTCCATGAAAAACCCAACCCAATGCCTAGTTCACTCTGCCCGCTACCTAACGAGCTACAAACTGCCCAGAGGGGGTCTGGTGGCAGCAACCTTTAAAATTAAGGCTATAGCTAAGTTATCCCCCTTAGAATTAGTGACCCCAGAATCTGGATGTATAGCGGGTTAAGTAATAACATCATCTAATACTCTCAACGATCTAAAAAGGGGGGGGGAGCATTAGTCACATTAACTTCAGTTTAAGGAAAAGTCTGCTGCACTTTCAGAAGACACCAGAAAGAGGTTGAGGCGTCCTTTGAAATGTGGTGTTACAGCCGAATGTTAAGAATAAGTTAAAGTGACAAGAAAACATGAAAAATTCCTAAGTTTAGCAAAAACTTTAAAATAAATACTTGAAATGTACAGAAAAGAAAAATTAGATACTTTGGTCTTATATAAATAATAATAATGGTTGCCCCTCGTGTAACGAGGATGACCGGCCCAGGGGGCACCTAGAGGTGAATTTGCTTAAGATGTAGGAGCTGTCGCCTACACAACAACCACACCCTGAGTTAACAAGCTGCAAGACCCAGTGTCAAAGAATAGTCCAAGATGTCCGGACAACTCGCCAACCATTACCCCGGAATATGATCCGCAAATCGATTAACATCCAGTATTACTGCTGGGCAGACAAAGGCAAATGGCGTAAATAAACTTGCCCATAGTTTCACCCTGGTCATATAAGGATAAGATGATAATAAAAATATTACTGAGCGAAGTTGAGGGCCAAGTGATGGCGGAGACTGGGATGGATAAATTAAAAGTCCAGTCCCCAGATAGATGCAAAATCTTGGAGGGTTGGTAAAAGCAGCCCGAAACATTTAGAGCTGAGACTGTGATTGCCATCCCTCAGATATGGGGTGTACTGCGCACATCATTGTCATTCCTAAAAACCCCTGTAATTCATATTACGCTACATAACATTCAAATCCACCGCGCTTGTAGAATCTCAGAAAACGGGAAACATTGATAAAGGATAACTCACCTACTCAATGTTACTGAATTATGTGTTGTATTGTACCCAGGTACGGTTATATAATATTAATTGTATGTATTCATAGCATTAAGGAGAACTCAGGGTATCCATAAGATGATTGGGAAAGTCCAGTTGAGCCGGACTAAGTGTGGATCATGGTTTGAAGGTCATACTATTTACGTCTGTGAACGTGTAGCGAACATAACTTCCAGAGATATCATATGAAAATACATGAGAACAATGATCTGGAAAAAGGATAAATGTATCAGAACTATGTGAGGTGTTGGGAGTGACCCAGAAACTATACTTGAAAGGAAATATCTTGTATGCATCGGTGTGAACTTAATACACCTCGTATCCTCACGTGACATATACCCACGACATGCACAGTGATCAGAGAATCTTATGTCTGTGTTCAAATAGTGCAATGTGTGAGAGGAGGATCCCTATTTACAGTTTTAAGTGAAGTGGATATACCCACGCCATGAACATTCGACTTTTGTTTTAGGGAGCGTCCTGTACCCGCCTCGAGTGTGCCGCGTTGATATTATAACCCAATGAATTTACCCACGAACTAGCAAACCAGAACCTTATCTTAGTGTGTAATTTAGGATTAAAATAGGTGTTTATAAGGCATGAGTTACAATATACCGGAAAGTGTTCAGGTGAGAACCATGAGAAATAAAAGTAAAAATTAAAGATTGGAAACTGTAGGCCTACGCTGTGATGAGCGACGGGGCACTGCCCTCAGTGTCCTACATTCTAACGTCACCTCAGGTCAGTGTCCTCTGTCGGGCTACAGCCCGCCCTGTAGAAAAGGCTTATATCGCAGTTATTACAGTTTAAAGCTTTGCCTGATGTATAAGTGAAATAGTAATGTGTCAGGGTGTGTGATAACCGCCCATCAGGCATTATTTCTCAGTGTCCTACGTTCTAACGTCACCGCAGGTCACACGCGGTCGGAGCACCATGCTGGGCGTTGGCCACCCTCCCTGTGAGCGTCCCACCATGTGAGGTTGTGGGGTATGAGATGTTTGGTTCACACTCAGGATGGGTTGGAGAAAGGAAACTCACAATGTGCTCTCTGTATACATATTGTATTGGATGTACAATGCAGCTTGGTGCTGGGAAGGCAGCATGGTTACAAGCGTTGAGTAGAGAGAGCTGGTTGGTGAGGAAGCTCAAGGGACTAGCTTGTGGATCGCCATGGTCGCTGGCGGGAGCGAGGGCCGCCAGGCAGGAAGAGGAGGAGGTGTTGCTTGCTGGTTGGTGTAGATAGAAAAGAGGTAGGTCACCACGAGGTCAGGTCTTATATAGCGGAGGTAGGCGTGGCTTAATAGTTGACCTCCGTTATGTAAGGCGGCGCTGGTTGACCTAGACCACGAGGCATACACTGGGGAATTCGCGGGGTCGGCTACTCAGCGACAAACAGCGTTTGTAGGGGAGGAATCCACTACAAGGTAACTACCAGCTATACTATTCCACTGTGAACCTGTGGATCCCCAGCAGACCACCCCAAATGAATAGGAATAAATAAGGAAATGCTTGAGAAACTCCGCCGTCGTCACTTGGAGCGACCTATAATGCCAGGCGCAGAAACAGTACTGGTATGTCTCTGGGGGTAGCCCTCGTCTCTACCCACCGAGGACGGCGTGCGAACGAGGTGCCTGATGTGTGCACCTAGAAATCACACTTGCAGGTGTGGTGAGCTGGTGCTACAGGGAGGTGAGATGGTGTTACTATGTATGATGACCTAAGGTGCTATAGTCCATACAGGTGGAGCAGTCTGAAGTGTTAAATGATATTGTAAGCAGGGTAACCAAACTCATCGTTGTTCTTCTGAGGAAGGCCAGCTCAATTGTATTTTTTTTGTTACCATATAGTTTATAAGGAATAAATTAGTTAAGACATGTTATGGTTTCACCCTTCTTTCCCCTTATCGATCTGGTCAATGAAAAAACTAACCCAATGCCTAGTCCACTCTGCCCGCTACCTAACGAGTTACATACTGTTCAGAGGGGGTCTGGTGGCAGCGACCCTTAGAAATTAAGATTAGAGTTAAGTATTCCCCCTTAGAATTAGTGACCCCAGTCTGGCAGTATAGGGGATGTTACGTTGATTGATTTATTGATTGATTTCTCTTAGAGACTAGAACCACTCCATTCACTGCATTTGCACTGTACAGTACTTACCAACAGCTTGACCGGTTGTACACTCCTCCATACAAATGTTTGCCGATGACGCCAAGTTATTTCGGGAAATTAAGAACCAAGCGGACTGTGAAGAGCTGCAGAAGGACCTCTGTGGGCTCCAGGAATGGTCGAAGGAATGGCTGCTGAGATTCAATGTCACGAAGTGTAAGAGGATGCACCTGGGGCGTACCAACGGTAAGGAGGCGTACCATATGTCCCAACGGGATGAAGAAAATGTACTAGTTGAGACTGTGTGTGAGAAGGACCTAGGTGTGTATGTTGACAATGAGCTGAAGTTCTCGGGCCATTGTGAGAAGAAGGTAAATCAGGCAAATAAATTATTGGGTCTTATAAGAAGGTCGTTCAGATATCTAGACGGTCCGTCCCTCGTGACGATCTTCAGGAGTGAAGTGCTTCCCCATCTGGAGTACTGTCACCCCATCTGGTCCCCGAGATATGCTAGGGACTGTCAGTTGGTTGAAAATGTTCAAAGGAGGGCCACCAAGCTGGTGCCTGCACTTCGGCATCTCAGCTACCCTGCGAGATTGGAGCGCCTGAACTTGCCTAGCTTATACTACAGACGGGCAAGGGGGGACCTAGTTGAGGTTTATAAGCATCTCAGGGGGCACTACTCAGTTGAGTGTCCTTACTTGGAGCTGGCGGACGCTCGCCCCACAAGGGGTCACAGCTCAAGATTGAAGAAGCCGCAAGTCCGGAAAACCGTGAGGGCAAACTTTTTCGGAGTGAGGGTTGTAAACTCTTGGAACAATCTACCAGAAAGTGTTGTGACGGCACCGAGTGTGAGCTCTTTCAAGAGAAGACTTGACCAACACTGGAGCGGGTTCAGGTACATTCAGGAGCCGGTGCATGCCCAGTATTTGCCAACAGTGCGTGACAGAGACGTGACCGATCGCCCGGGCGGCTAGCGAGCCGACCTTTTGGTGAAGAATATAAAGGAAAAGAGTCGTGACCGATCGCCCAAGCGGCTAACAAGCCGATCAGTGGCGAAGAGGATAAAAAAAAAAAAAAATTAGTTCCCAAGATAACGCTCGCACTTGAGCGCTGAGCAAATCTAGATCTTTCTCTTTCTCTCTCTCTATATATATATATATATATATATATATATATATATATATATATATATATATATATAGAGAGAGAGAGAGAGAGAGAGAGAGAGAGTAATGTTCAAGGACAGCGGTTGAAATTCACGAACATCCTCCAGATGTCGCTAGTATTGATTCATAATGTTCGGAACTATTAATTTCTAACTAAAATACTCGCGTGAAACAGTTTATAGAATAACAGCACATAACCTACTATATAATGAGCGAACCTAAAATTATATAAAGGGATTTTTATATGATACAACTATGATATATCAGGTGAAAAATTATATCAGAAGAGCAAGAAGCCGAGGCCGGAGCCAAGACAGTCATCTGGGACAGGTCCTGGTGTCCGGGTCAGAGGTGTTGTTGACCGCCGGTGTAGTCGTCCCCAGTATAGCAATTATATTAGAAAAATGGCTCTGTCATCCACTAGGATAGCCAAGGTAGGCGAATTGATGATAATAATCGGTGTCATGTTGAGGTAAGAAGAATTGGTCGTTGTAAGTGTGTTGGTTAGAGGTAATATTGGTGTTCATAAACGTGCAGACGACAACCTCCCAACAGCTGATGTAAAGTGAGAACAGTTTCTGTCGTATAATTTTAGTAACTACAACAGCTAGATGATATGTAATGGTTAGAGTCTCTGACTACTTCGGTTTATTGCACTGTTTCCTAGGACTATATATTTATAGGTGCAGCTTCGAAATTTACAAGTCCTCAACTTAGCATGACATGTCAAAGGTCTTTGCTCCCACACTGAGAAAAATTACCCAGGCCTAGGAGAGGAAGATGTTTTTTTCCGATGGTTTAGATAAATTTAAGACTCCTTTATTCTATGGCATTTCCTTCGCAAGTTACTTCAATATATTGAGCAGTAGGAGGTTAGGTCATTTGTGAGGGAAAAGTCATATAGAAGAAAAGTGTCTTAAAATTGTCTAAACCATTGAAAAAACACATTGCCCAACTCGAGAGCCGTGGTTGGTCGAAACTACAAATTATCCAATTTTATTTATGAATAGGCTCCAATACCAGTCACTGTAAAATAGCCTGACAGACTGTTTTGGACTATTTTGCCAGTCCATTGTTTATGTAATAGAAGGGTAATTTCTTAGAACAGGACTACTACCAGAAGTTGCTCGATTTCATTCATTTTTTCCATAGAAGTTCTTATTATTAAAGTACCGTAAGGGTAAAGATTTGCTTTACCATCCCCTTCTTTTTTTACAGGGAAATATATTTTTTGGGTGTAATTTGGTGTGCTTTGTTTATATCTGAAGTTCATTTTCTTTGGAAATCCCCATTTATGAGAAACTGTCAGAAACATATAGAACTAACCAACCAAAGAAGCCTACCTAATCTAGTTCTTGTATAATGTAGTATTACTGATGCATAATTTCTCTTAGTATGCCTTATTGTGGGTAAAAATAAGTATATATTAAATGCCTCCTCCAAAAGCGTGAATTTGCTACCAGAGTTTAACAGTTAATATTATTCATGTATATAAGATTTCTGTATGTATCTTTATATAATTTAGCTAAATATCTTTCTCTTCAGAAACGGTCATTCCAACGATTATGAATACTGTAAACTCATTTAGAACTATACATCATTACTTCAGGACGAAATTGGACAGATTTGCAACAGCCAATCAACTGTAACTCTTGAGGGGGGGGGGGCATCTCTTCTGAGCTGGGAAAAAATTCACTATACTACTGTAGTTGAGTTGATGTTAGACTGCACCATTAGCCATTCATTAAAGGTGACAGGAAACTTTTCCCAAATTTATTAAAACAATTTATTGAAAGGACTACAGAGTTTGAAGTTTGAATTTAAAAAATTTCACCTCCGTAAAACTAGTGTTTGCTCCAAGTACAAGTGTTTTGTTTTAGGAGCATAATTTATGTGCATTGGTGGTACACCAGTGTCAGGTTTGCCCATCACTGCTGTGACTTAGATGTGAAAAGGGTGTTCTCCAATTTAACCCTACCAAATATTGCAGGTTTTCTCCAGGTACTGTACTCCAGTTTCTTCCTGTACTGAAAGTGGACCCATGTGGGTTACCCTTACTGGTTGTCTGTTCATTATAGATAAATTTACAGGTACTGTACTTAAACCTAAAATGAAAGAAAAATGTTCTATCATTCATCTTGTCTACAATTGGCAGGGTATGTCAGTCTACCAAACCTGATAATGTCAGAATTTTTCTATGTAAAGTTGGGTAGATCGGATCAGGTTTTGTTCATTCACTTTACCAGTTTTAAATGAGGTGCAGGGTACTGCATACTCCCTGATGATCCTTGTTTACAGGGTGAGAACACTTAAGAACTTCTTCATATACTGGGTACTTTTTTAAGATTGTAATGTAGGTACTGTATGGCATATCTATCACTTAGTAATTACTAAAAATTATAAAATCAACTCTTACAAAGTTTTCATCTCATTATTCACAGTACTGTACAGTGTTAATGTTGTGGCCCCTATTCGTAGCAATTTGCTAACCTTTCCCTGAGGTTTGGTTAATTATAAACTATGGCTTTGGGTGTGGTTACACTCCCACCAATGCAGGCCTCACAGGGTGGGGGGGGGGGCCAGAACTAAATGGGCCCTATACTTGAGAGGCAAGGGCTTTGTCTATGCCTTGGGCACTAATGAACACTGCTGTCATATGAGTATTATATATTAAACTCTGACTGCAGCAGAAACAACTAATGCATGAACCATTATTGAGTTACACCATTCTCAAAATGCTGATGTTCATTGATCAGTTCATATAGTATTTTTGAAGATTTGGTGACAAGACCCACAAATGGCAAGGGTCTACTACATTACTGTATATGAAAAGATTCGAACTGCTGAATTCTTAACACGGGATACCACCTTACTAACATGAGAAAGAGCTTGTCATCCTGGCAATTGTTAGAAATATTTTGCAGCAGTGTTGTAACTTTAAGTTCTCTACCCCTCAAAAAATTCATCTTGCAGAAGTTGTCTGGAGCACTGAGTCGAAGTTTTTCAACGAGTAGAGTTGTAGCTGCTAATCAGTTAACTGTCCGAGATGCCCTCAACAGTGCTCTTGATGAGGAAATGGAGCGGGATGAGACGGTGAGAACAGTACTTTTCTCTTTTGCTTTAAAATCAAGAAACAGCCATATGTTGTTTCCTGTTTGGTTCTCAGGTGTAAGCAGGGATAGAATTAAAAAGTGTAATTAATTTTTGTTTTTATTACATTGGCTAAACATACTTACTACGTAAGTTGGTAATGAATTTTGTATTCAGTATTACCGAGTTTATCTCAATAGTTTTTGTTATATATCTTACTGCAGGATTTATGCCATGGGATACATTTTAGAAAAGGTTGTCATAAACAAAACCAGCATAAAGAAAACAGGTTTCCATAGTAAAAGGGGATTTATGTTCTATACTGTTAAGTTTTCATGGATTCACTATACTGTATCTAAATACTGTACATGCCTTCCCAGCTAAGAGGCCATTTTAGAAGTCTTACATATGATGGCCAGTTCCCACTCTGTATAAGTGGGCTGGGGATGGGAAGGACATCCTCCCATAAAATTTACTTAAAGTTTGCCTTCAGGTAACCACTGCTAACCCATGAAAGTGTGGAGAATGGCCAGGATATGATGATACTTATACATTCAGCACCTTATATTTTGGTAAATCAAGGGTGAGTCATGTCAGAATAGTGTGTTAGATAGCTCTTAAGTTAGTACAGTAATTATTGTGCAAAACAAATTCTGCACTACACCAGATATATAAAGACATTTCTCTACAACTGGTAACAAAATCCTGAATAAGGAAGAGGATTTAAAAAAAAATGTTTTCATGAACCAATCATACATTTTGTATAAAGCAATAATCCAGAAGAAATAAATAAAAACCAGCTTGCCAAAGAATTGATGTTTTTCCATTTATGTGAGTGCACTGAATAAAACATGTGTTGTACATGTGTTGCACGCTGTATTTCCTTTGGTAATGATTTGTTATAGTGCCAGCATTGAATGTACCACATTGTACAGGTGTTCCTGATGGGAGAGGAGGTAGCTCAATATGATGGTGCATACAAAGTGTCTCGTGGCTTATGGAAGAAGTACGGGGACAAGCGAGTAATTGACACTCCAATCACTGAAAGTGGCTTTGCCGGCATAGCTGTTGGAGCAGCCATGGTATGTAAATGTGCATTTTTTGTAATTGTCTAATGTCTTTTAATTGAACTATTTTTACAATTCAGAAGAACTTCCCATGTATGCCATCTTCTACAGACTTTTGTTTAAATGCATGATAACCTGTAATTAATATCAGTGTCGGGTATTAAACTGGCTGGCTTTTGTCATCCATGAAAGTTCTGTTGTGGAGAAGAATGAAAGGAATGGGGGCACAGTAGACCCTTGCCATTCGCAAGTTTGCGATTCATAATTTCGACGATTCGCGACAAGTACTGTAGATGGTGGCTATGGTAACTAGTTTGCAAGCCTTTTCCCGCAGCACTACGAGTCGCCCCACCCAGCATCTCATGGTGTACTCTCAAAATTTTAGTGTTTCTGTGTGAAATGGCCCCTAAAAGACTGCCTAGTGTCAGTGTTAGTGGTGCTAGTGGAGTGAAATGTAAAAGACAGAAGTCAGTGATGACCTTGACAAAGAAAGTTCTATTATTAGTAAATTTAAACGGGATGAGTTCTGCCGTGGCTGGTCAGTTGTTTGGTATAGGTATACAGTAGCGCAATAAGGTAGTATAAGTTGCTATTTGCGTTTTGTCAATTTGCGCCATTTCTTGGAACCTATCCCTTAGGAATGGCAAGGGTCTACTGTATAACACACCACTGGTTGGTCCGTATGTGTAAGTCAGTAATGGAAGGAAGCAGTAGTGTCATGTAATCTATTTTCTTGTCCCATAATATTCCTTCCATGGTTGCTAAAGCCTTGGATTGTTTGATAAATATATCTGCTAATGTATGTAATGTACCTGTTCTAGGGTGGCTTACGACCTGTTTGTGAGTTCATGACCTTCAACTTCTCAATGCAAGCCATAGATCATGTCATCAACTCAGCCTCCAAGACCTTCTACATGTCTGCTGGCACGGTAATTGTTTTCAGCACAATGTATGCAATTGAACTAATAAATCCTACAGATGATGTAACTAATGGTAATTACAGTTGATAGTTGTACTACTGATGATTACTTGAATGGTGAAAGAGTTTATTAGGTTAGATGTCGGGTGAATATTTTAAAAGAGTTTTGTAGATTCTGTACATTATATTTGATAGTGTTGTTGTTCATTTATACAGAAAAAAAATTTATACTGGAGTTGTGAAAAGTGAAAGTGGGTCCCATAGGCATGAATGCCTATTTAGGGACAGTGTGGACACAACACAGGGATCTCCCAGGTTAAGCATATATGGGAAGGAGGTGGAGTCATGCAGCACCTGATAAATGCCTGTCTGTGTATTTTCCTGCCAAAATGTTAGCTTCTCTGCTGGGCAAGTGCCAGGTACATGGACATGAAATATCACTTGTCTGGCCCTTAGATTTTTATTTTTTTTGGGTGGGGGGGGTGGCAGCCAAGAAAAATGAACAAAGTTGGATTTTGTGTAGGTATTGGTTTAAGAGGAAGAGTGGGGACCTCATCATAATATGGTAATAAATACACTACATTCATATCCATTGGGATAGTGGTTTCTGAGATGAGGATTTCTGGTGGAAGTGTTTTCAGTACCCTGATTGGTTTGGGTCATTGGATGGAGATGTTGTTTTGTATGTTTGTAGATGATTGTCTTAGGAGATGAAGGTAGGATACTGTTGAGTGTGTGGGAATAGTGTTATGCTATGGTACAATTTTTGTCTGGGATGGGGTATGTTGAAGATGAAGTTGGAGGGGTGAGTAAGGTGCTGTACTGATGCGATGAATTGTCCCCCCCTGATGTCAAGGTGGTCATGATTTAGAATGTATTGTAGTTGGTTGGCAATTTGTGGTTTTCATGCCACTTGATATTGTTTAAAGGGCTTTGTTTTGGGTCTGTTAGAGGTTTCAGTTTTATGAGGCATGTTACTGGGGTCCTGTTGTTTGTATACTCTTATTAGTCATATCGAAAGCATTAGTGTTAAAGAAAGTCATAGCTGTCTTTGAGTTTTGAAACAAATAAGAAATGTTCCTGGAATACTATGCATCTGTTGAAATATATTTATGGGTTTAGCCAATTAAATTAGAACTATTTCAGATCCATGTTCCAATTGTGTTCCGTGGACCAAATGGATCGGCTGCAGGTGTAGGAGCCCAGCACTCTCAGTGCTTTGGGGCTTGGTATTCACACTGCCCTGGATTAAAGGTAAGTGCAAATTTATCCCACCAAAAATCAATTTTGAGTAATAAGTCAGCTTTACAACCGAGATTCAGGTTTTTGCAAAACTGGTATAAACGGATTTCAGAGCATTTCGGATAAGGGAAGCGGCGTGGTCACATTCCAATGGACCCTTCCTCTCTACCTCACAGCATTCGTTATAAACTTCTAATTGTATTAGAGAGATGAATTTGATATCATAATGATCCTGAATAAATTCTCTAGGAGACATTTCCAAAATGATATCCTTCAACAAAATATTTTGACATATGATGGGGATTCCATTCATTTATCCTTCCTCCCCCCAAAAAACGTAAGAATTAATGATGATACTGGCATCAATAAAATCAGTTCTAATTTAGATAGACACACCATTTGTTACCCAAATAATCTTGAATATTTTACTTAAAAGTTTGGTTAAATAAATACCGTATTTTATGCAGATTCCCTAGCAACACCACCCCCCCCCCCATACACACACACACACACACACATTCAGTGAGTTCTGCTATAACGCGTGTTTTGACAACGCGAATTGGCTCTAACGCCATTTATGAATAGAGGAACGATATTTGTATAACGCGAACGCTTGTTTGCTGTAACGCGATTTTTGCTTACCATTTCTCCAATTTTGTGGTATTAACTGTGAATATGGTAAAGAAGAATATCTCCAAGAAGCGTTCTGGTGATCGCATTCCCGGTGATGATCGTAAAAGAAAGGCTATAACCCTTGAAGAGAAGCTCGATGTTATCAACCTCAAAATCACCCTTCTCCCCCATCAAGTTATATTCATATTTTTTCAAAGTAAAGTGTTACATTTACTGTATGATTTCATTATTAGATATGAATGTAACATTTATTTAGACTGTGCTAACCTTTGTGTTAGGCTAACTACTAAATTTTTTTCGATTTCAAGTAGTAATCTGCACCTAACCCTATTTTCTCCATAAGCCCTGTTATTTCTATAACGCGAATTTCTTTAACACGATGTTTTACAAGAACACAACTATCGTGTTATAGCAGAACTAACTGTATGTTCCACTCCCCCAGTGAGCCAATTAACTTGTGTGCAAAGAAATGTATATTCCCTTAATGTGTTTGCCCTTAGGAAAATTATTTGTTGCTTTTTTCACAATATGTATGTAGGATGGTGTGTGCATGTAACGGAGAAAAAATAAATGAAGAAAGTTACGTATATCTACCTGAAAATACGAGATGAAAAACAACCATAATACCAATAGCCTGGTTGTTACAGTGATGAGTCTAACCTGGCTACAATGTTGCCAGCGATATTAACAGACGAAAATGTGAAAAAAGTTTGTATTTGTAAATCTTCATTTGTATCAGGTATTTGTTGATTTAAAAATAAATTTTGTAGGTATGACATTGTAAGAGTTCAGAAATGGTTACTGCTTAGCTACCTCTGAAGTTTTGGGTGTCTGCTGTATGGACGTTAATCGACTCGGGTTATTTTCCAAGCTTCACAGGAAAATTTCTATGGGTCTAAGCAATGCAACTCGCAGGAGCTGTATTTATTTACGCAAACAACACTGTACACGTACAATATTGATCATACTGTAAACAAAATAATGTATACTACTGTACTACTATGCTGTATATACTGTACTGGACTCACCAGCAGACTCGGTTCACTCAGCTGACTATAATGTTTAACTGTAATCATGTTTTAACACTTGCAATGGAGGTTGGGTGGGATATTAGTGGGTCATGTTACTGACCTGACCTGATGCAAAATCAGGTCACCCATTGTCGGGGTGGGGGATTAGTGGGTCTCATGACCTGAAGATGTTTTGAATAAAAACGAATGATAATATGCTCCAGTGTTTCCGACGTACTGAATGTACAGTACAGTACAGTATATGTAACTGTAATCACTTTTTCACTTTCTGAACACTGAATTCTTGGCTGGTTTTGTTCTGGTACAATAATGTACAGCACTGCACAGCACAAATTGTATAAAAAAACCAGCTATCAAGGGAACAACCTTTTACAATGGCATTAAAATATGAACTAAGCTATCCACGCAGCTGGGCCACCCATGCGCCTGGCATGTGGGGATGCGTTGGAGCATCTTTTGGAATGCCCTGAAAATTTATTCCCTGATTTAGAAATAAAAATGTGTTATGATTTTCCAGATTTTTTCTTGGAATTTACTATACTATACTCTTTGGTCTAACTTATATAGTAAGTCCTCGATATATGCGGGGATGCGTTCCTGAACACCCTCGCATAAATTTAAATTGCATACAGTACTGTATATCGAATACTTGGTTAAATGGGAAAAAATAGGATGAATTCCATAACCCAAAATGAAAATGTTCCAGACCCATTTTCAAGACAAGTTAACCATAAAACAAATCAATACAATTTTATTTTTAAAATAATAGATAAAGCAAGTGTACAGTACAGTGTACTTAACAATAAAGGCAGATACATCAACTTGTGTAGATGAGATGGTGGTGGTGTTGGAGTGATATCTGTGTAGTCATCAGAGTTGGAATCCATTTCAGGGAGTATGACATCTCGCATAAAGCTGAATTTTGTTTGCATTAATTGAATTCCTGGTAGGAATAGGGTCTTTGCATACGAGTGAATTCTCATATGATGAACTCGCATATATCGAGGACTTAATGTACTGTATTTGAATGTATTTCATCATATAAATACATTATGTACTGTACAGTATTATATGAATACAGTAATATACAGCCACTCCTCGACTTACGACCTACTCGACTTACGACCACCCGGACATACGACCGCCCCAGTCGAACCAAAATTTTGTCAAATTAGTTATTTTCAAGTCCTGACGTTAGTGATTGTGCTGTGTACTGACAAATTTTTTGTTTGTAATTCCCTTTAAATGGCTGGTATGCTTAAAAGTGAGAGTTTTGTGGTGCTGAGAAGAAAGAGACACCCATTTTAGATTTTCTATGTATTATCTTCGCATTTTTGACTTACGACCTTGATTTTAACCCCGTCGTAAGTCGAGGAGTGGCTGTATTGTACTTCCAGTGAGTCTTTCAGCGTATGTACTTGTCCATCATTGATCATCCATGGTTTGTCCTTAATCTTCACATATTTTGAACAACTGTTGGCTGATTTTTATCAACCCTGTATGTACTGTATAGTACGTACTGTATATAAGTGTTTAATTCCTTAGTAGTCAAGCATGAAAATCCTTTTTTCACTTACGTAGCCAGTGATGTAATTAATTAATAAATATTACATGTGATTTAACTATGTTAAGAGGATAATTGTGTTTAACTGAGAAAACTGGGTTTTTCAGATTCTTAGAGACCCATACTCTAAGTGAACTTGGTGTGTACACTGTCCTCATAATTTTTTATTACCAAAATAACGTGAAATTAAAGCTTAATGAATGGTTCTACCATGATTTATTGCTAAGTTTCTTTGTTAGTCTCTGGGTCTTTAGAATAAATAAGCATTAGGTAAATACAAACTTTTCCTGCACTGTACAGGAGTTGCCTGTAAATTCATTAGTAACTACCATTTATTTGTTCTCCAGGTGGTGTCTCCTTACTCATCTGAGGATGCAAAAGGCCTCTTGAAAGCAGCCATTCGTGATCCAGATCCAGTGGTTGTGCTGGAGAATGAACTCGTCTATGGCACTGCTTTTGAAGTTTCAGATGAGGTTCTCACCAAGGATTTCGTTGTTCCTATTGGCAAGGCAAAAATTGAGCGTGAAGGTAAGAAGAACTGAGGTGATGCTGTCAAATACTTTAATGGCATTTTGTCACCTAACTGAGGTTACTTTGGTTTATTCTAAACTTTAGATCTACATCAGTTTTGCATATTACTAGTTATAACAGAAGTGAGCATGCAATTGGCTTTTGTTTAATACTGTACTGTATATTGAGAGCTCTGTAATTGTGCAAGACATTTTCTTTTCTTTATCATAGGGTAAAAGATGAAGATGTGAGCAGTGTATTGTGTGAAGAAGTATTTAGAAATGAATGGATGAAAGAACATTGAGTATGATTTTGTAATAAATCGGGTTCTCTTTACACTATTTACAACATATGACCTTTAGCCAGGTAGCTCATGTTATACTGTTTGCCTTAACCCCCTGTGTATGGTGTCGCCTCTGAGCTGAATAAAATCGTCTGGCATTCGCCAAATAAAATACTAAAAGTGCTGCTCTTGTAGTGAAGGGGTTAATAGGGGTTCTAGATTATCTGACCCTACCTCATTTGGTGAGTAGAATTTATTTTTTATCTGATTTATTGAATATAACTCATTTGGAAAATGGCAGTGAAGTAACAAAGGAAACACAAGTGGGCATTAGGAATTTTACTCTTGACAAGTGTTTCAACCAAGTGGTACCACACTCCCAATCTGATTTAGATAATCAGATAGCCCAACCCTCCCTGTCACACCCACTGTCTTCACATGTCAGAAGTCACTCACAAAAGCTCCCCTCTAAAGGCAGAAACTGTTTTGGAATTGTGCTCGTCAAGTCAGGCTACTGACTGCCATTGTAGGTTGAGGTCAGCTCATAACTTTTAATTTTATTTCTAAGCCATTAATTATCAAGTGTGGACAATCCAAACCAGCTCTCCTATGATCTGATTATTAACTTTTACATAATTTTTTTACATTATGTAAATTGGAATTTGTTTCCTGTTTTATAATATTTTATGAAAATTTTCTGTAAATTTAATTCCATAAACCTGCGGGATGCTTATATTTTGACTTATTGTTTGCTTCATGAAAAGTCCTGTCATTCATATTGTAATAGTGAGTAGTAAGACAGAGTAATTTGTTGACTGTTCTCTTCTTTTCCTGCAAGTAGTGATTTTGTTAGGGTTTGTAAGGGTTTTCATTGTCTCTTATATTTCATACTCAAGTGTGAAAATTAGAGTGAAGCCACTTTTGACCTCATAAGAGTGGAGATGTTTCTGGATAACTTAACCCAGACAACAATGTTAATATATATGTAATAAGGCTGACAGTGTATTATTATAATGTGCATCATGTATAAATCAATCTCCACATATGAATTCTGAGGGTTACTTTGAGCCATTGCATGATCCATTGTGTGATTTACCAGGTGCTTGTGTCCCTGTGTGAAAAAGCTTTCTGGCTTATGTTTATCATGAATTACTCAAATTTCTTCATATACATTTTATTTTCAAAGTCTTATCACTCATATTGGCATTTTTCCTTGTTTGAAACATCTCTGTGTGTATTGTTTATATAGAGGTTTTATTCCAACATCTATTTATCATTATTGCCAAGCGAAATTACATCTAGGAATCTTTTCCACCAATCAGCTTCATCGTTACAAGACTATGGATTCATTCATAAGTTTTCTCTAGTATTGTTACGTTAACACAACCTTAATCTTCATCAGGGGTAAAGGAACTCTTTAAGGCAACTGTATATATATCTTTACCTCCTTATTGTTTGTATCTTATCGTAAACAGGGTAATTTTGCTGTTTCATGCCCATTTACTGTATTCAGCCCTGACTACGGCACTGCGTTGCCACATCTTGTACCCCAGCCCTCACATATTCACATGCTGTGGTACGTTCATGTAGAGGCAACTGTACATCCCAAAACAACAGGGTTCATACCAAGTTCATGTTAACGTGTGTTCTGGCTCACATTATAGTGTTATTTTACTGTACAATTTATTAATTTCCTTTTTTGTCAGTGGCTGAGATTTTTTAACTTTATTTTATTTATTCCTTTTATTCTAGGCCAACATGTAACCTTAGTGGCACACTCCCGTGCTGTTTTGTTAGCATTGGAGGCTGCAACTGCCCTTGCTGGTGAGGGAGTTGAGTGTGAGGTCATCAATTTACGTTCCCTGCGACCCTTGGACGAGGAAACCATTGTCAAGTCAGTAACGAAGACACACAACCTGGTGACAGTTGAACAAGGATGGCCTCAAAGTGGAATTGGCTCAGAGATTTGTGCTAGGGTAGTTGAAAGTAAGTCATTATACAGTGTTTACCTTTTATGTCATACAAAATTGTCCTGTTTGTGTGTTTAGGAAATATCATACAGTACTGTACATCCAATACCACCATCTCTACCACACATGTTAGTGGAGATTAGAGTTGCACCATTTACTTTGATTATATTTTGTTGAGGTTTTACGAATAAAGTGGATTTGATTCAGTGTGTTGCTTAGATTAGGGAATGCTTGATAGTAGGAAATAGTACTGTCTAAATGTTTCACCTCCTACTCTTCATGTGAATTGATGGCATTTTTTAGCTTCTGAATCCTTTCAGGAAGAGTACAAGCAGGACAAAGCTCACAGGGTAATATTTACCTAATAGGATTAAAAGTGAAGGGGAGGTGAACCTAGCAAAGGGAGATCAGCTCTTTAGTCAATAGCAGAGAACAAAAAGTCCTTCGTAAGGTGCTACACTGATGTTTCATTTAGAACATTTTAATTGTAGGGATATTTGTATCTGACCCATAGTCTGAGGGGGCATATTTTTCCTTTAGTTGAAGCAGCTTTCAAACTAGTACAGGTGTTACATAAATAAAAATAAAAAAATTCTGAAATTTCAGAGTAAGCAAATTCATATTTAATGGATAATTTACATTTTTGCAGGTCCAGCCTACCACTACCTCGAGTCTCCAGTAGTGCGGGTGACAGGAGTTGACGTTCCAATGCCTTATGCTAAAAGTTTGGAAATTGCATGTATTCCACAACCTCATGATGTAATCAAGGCTGTGAAGAAGGTGCTAAAGATTATAAAGTAAAAATGCACGAATTAGAAATAGCTTTTATGTTAAAGGTTCTGAAAAGAAGAAATGCGTGTACATTATTTGAGTTCCACCTAACAAATTAATATTTGGTGCACCACTTTCTTGCCAATACATTTGTATATGAAAATATATTTAAGAATTATTTTGTAAAATTGTATTCTGAAAGTAAATTATAAATTATTCTAATATCTGCAAGACATGCAGTATGGATATGTGTACTGTACAATAATATTTTGGCTGTATATAGTATTTGTTATGTAAAATGTTACAATGTGAGAATTAAACCTCCCCATTTTTACTTTATCCTCTTATTGACACCTTTATCCATATGTGTCATATTACATCAAGTTCAAAATGTAATTACGCACCTTTTAATATGGTGGTCAGCAAATACTTCTCCTAATCTTGTCTCGTAAAAAATTGTAAATAAATATGGTGTAGTCTGATGGAAATAGTAAATATGAAAGAGATAATATATAATTCATGCCAGTTCCTTCTTTTAATTATTATTTTTTCCTTATACCAGTTATCTACCTGTTGATATCTCCCATGCCTGCTCTTGCCATCAATTCAAGTTGGTGCTAACAGTCTTCACCAAGCTTCTCAGGTGCTAACTTAGCTGTACCTTCAGACCCTGGGGATGCTCTAGCAATGCTCAAATATTTGCAAATGGATTTTTAGATTTTGATTTAGCAAATACAATACAGAATATATACTCAAGTGAAACAATTGCACCTCATATCCATTTCTTTACAGGAAGTTTGGTTTTAGCTAGTAATCAGTATTTACTGCCAGTTGTAAGCAAGATTTAATTTGCCTGTTTTATTTTAATTTTATAATTGCTAAGTAGGATCTTCAAGTTCAGTTTGCAGCAGATGTTTTACAATTAATTGGAATTCAGTAGAAGAACTAAAATGATTTTTGCTCTGAATGTGACATTGAGTAAAAGATTGAACAAATGTAGCTATTACAATATACTGTACAGTAGTTGCAGATGCTGAAATAGGAAATTAGTTCTTGTATATGGTCTGAATGCAGACAAAGCAACAGCCCTGATGCCTAGGTAGTCCCTTATACTCGAGTTAATGCCTTACTGTACTGTCAGCTGCTCACTGAGCTTTGGTTGATGTTACGTACATGCTGTACACTTCATTATCATCAGCTTTGCTTTACACTTTCAGAATAAAAACCCTGGAGGTAGATTGTATTAAGAATGAGTATTGCCAAGGCAGACAAGGAAATATAAGAAAATAGGAAGGTACAGTATAAGGAAAAGTACTAGATGGAGTAGAAATAACAACCATCTCGGAAATTAAATGCAAACACCTAAGGTCTTGCAGTAAAGGTAAGACTAAAGAAATCATCAGTAGCAACAATAGCAATCAATGCTCCACTTTAATGTATCAATTTGTAATAGACTAATTGATCTCTTTTTGCCTCAGTATTGGATATCTTATTCCCTTTAGGACTTCATGTAAATTCAAGCCAAACATTACAAAAAATTCATCAAGTTTGAATTGTGAATTTTTTTTTCTCCTAACATTGATAGTTCATACTGGTCGTTTTAGTATGTCTTATGTTACCCTGATTTATGACCAGCCACTAGGCAAATGTCTGGCTTAGAGATATTAGCAGTTTAGTAATATCCAAGGTATCCACTTTATCCTGTCTGACTGTAGCAGTTAAACAGGTGTAACTTTTCACCTAACTGAACCCCTCAACTCTAAAAGAGAGAATCTCTAATTTTGGCGAGCACAGAAATGTCTTTTAAAACTGAAAGATGACAAAATCGTGACTGTCTCCCCTGACCATTCTTCAACTACTCCATGGTCAAGGTTTCTGCCAAAAAGATAATTTGAAGGGATGTGAGGTTTGAATCTAACCCTTCCCTTTCCTTGGTACTGTATGTGAAATACTAATTTTGGGTCTCTCTATATAACTAAAGCATTTGTGACCTTTCAAGTTTTAAGGATTTTTTTTTTATTATTTTTTATAAATACTGTATACCTAACTGGATAAAATGAAGAGATGATAAGTGCCTCACCCCAAGTTCATCCGAATCAATGTGTATACAATACTGTACTGTGTATAGATGACATGAAGTACTCACTATTATGGTTTTTTATGTGAACTTTTAATGTGAAATACTTATATTTTACTTGTCTTATTTTTGCATGCACTTTTTAACATACATATATGTTTTTGATGAATTATGATAAAAAATTATATTTTACCAAAATATTTAATCAAAATTTTATGACACAAGCATGAGTGCTGAACAACTGTCTCATTAATCCCTCCACTACAGCCACACCACACCAAGCTTACATACACACTAATACTGTATGGGTACAGCACAATTCTGGTAGTGGAACTGAAGTAAAACGAAGAAAAGCTATAACTCTTGAACAAAAATTAGATGTGATAAAGCGATATGAACTCTCACCTCCTCCACTCGTCTCAAACAACCATTTTCGTTTCTTGCGGTGAGTGTTAAAACATTCTTATAAATTTATTTACATTTCTTGTGGTTAAAATGTTTTGATTTAAAAAGGTTTTATCATTAAAAGCTATTAAGCAAGTCACACTCCAATAAATATTATTTCATCATTTTTGTTCTGCAATTTCCTTCATGGCTCCCTTTTCTATCACTAAAACACAGTTATTGTAAAAAAACGCCTAAAAACTAACAATAATATTATAATGAAAGTGGGTCCCATGTTCAGGGGCGAACCCAGAAGTTGGTTTGCCAAATGTTTAAGCTGGGGAAGGAGCTGACATGGTAAACTACAGATCACTAATGCTAGAAAAACACTTCTAACTAGAGGGGTTCAAGGGCATATTTAATTTACATAAGCATAAAATACATGAATTTATGCTAGATTATCATTTTTGTATAACATGCACACAATATATATTATATAATGTTTCTCTAAATTGCTACTAAATTGCACTTTTACATGTAAATTATAAATAAAATCAAATAAATTACATATCGGTCAATGATGGAAATGGGTATTAAAAATGTGGGTATATGCTGTGGAAACACTTCCGGGTACCCAGAGGAGTTTCCGGGCTACTAGGAACCCCCCCCCCCCCTGCTGGTCCCATGTCAGTCCTGTTGGTGTCCTCAAACCTACTACCCCTTAATTTCCATTGAATCCATAGTTACTACAACTCGGTGTTTTTCAGAAATGCAACTGTGTCCCACATTATAGGAGAACTGACTAACTGTATTGTGGATCCTTTCACACCAAATTTCCATGCACCTACCACAACACTCATGCCATCCTTCAATTTACCAAACACTTCCACTTATTGCACCAAAGTTATCAGTTTGTCTTCTTCACTGCCCCAGCACTTAAAGATGAATCACATCTGGATGTTATTGTATTTAGAGTACTGTACAGTATACTAAACAAGAATACTGTAATGATAAAATAATGAAGAAACTAAGATCATTTTAAAAATTAGCATACTCCACCACACCACAGGCAGCCTTACATTTATGTTGGCATGGGTATACCTGCCTGATGTGGGCATCATTGCATTGGGGAGAACTGTAGGTTTTTTTTACAATATAAACAAAACTGATGTGTGTAAGTCTGCATTCAACAAAGGATCGGATATATCCTAGAACATAGCTATGCTTATATTTTAAAAGAAAATTCCATGCCAGATACAGAGTCTAGCATGAGGATATTTTGGTTCTTGAGAAATGGTAATTTTGGCATGGCAGTGCAGGAAAGTTCCACATTAGATATTTACACTAGTTATATCGTATGTGAGGTTATCAAATACGTAGGCAATAAGCAATTTCAAGGTTTATAATGTGCCCAATATATGATATAATATAATATAATAATATAAAACTAATGCGCCATATCTTCTTCAGAACTCATTACGGTATAGGGAATCTTTTCCGCATAAAATGAATTGTAGGTAGAAATAGGGTCGCTGCATAAACACAAATTCACATACCTGGTATAGTGAATACTCATAAAGTGAGGGTCCAGTGCACAGTATATTCTTTCAGAGGATTCGGAAACCACCTATTGTACTGAAATTTAGAACCAAGTCTTTCAGTGGTTTTATTTATGTTATTTACATACTAATTTGTCCTATTTACCAGAAATTTTTTCGTTTCTGGCTACTACCCTCCGCCAGGCAGCTCTCGTAATACAGGACAATTCAGAGAGTCCTCGAGTTCTTAAGAGATTATTCTGATTCCACTTGCCTTTCCCCTGCATTGTTAGCTTCAATAAGGGGGATGTGATACTGTAGTTTCCACCAATGATCAAACCTTGGCCCTCAGCTTCTCTCCCAAGAGAGTTGAGGAGGGGGCAGGTCTGAGGTGCAGTCAGGTATACTGTACTGGAGTTTGTGAGCTTCTAGACTTATTTATTGGCTGCTTCTCCCATTTTCTTGTTTTTTTGCCAAAGGATCCTTGAACTTTTTAAGTACAGTAATTTCGAAAGGATTGTGATGGGATGAGCGTGGGTTTCTATTTATTGTACAGTACAGTACTTGGTTTCAAATCAAGAGTCTGGCAACCCCCTTTAGATTTTGTAAGTAAAATTTACATCCTAGCTTTTCACAGGTAGTAAAACTCAGTTAACTGTATGGTACCTGTGTTACTCTTTATGAGGACCATCAGAATTTTTTATCCTTTAGTTAATGGCTTGACCGTTTTAAGGATAATGATGTTTACTTCTCATGTGAGACAGAGTTTTAGATTAAGGGATCCAACTCAGAAGCACTGTATACAGATAATAATCATTACATGGAACAGTAGTCACAACTATAACCAAACAGGATAAAATGGATATCCATGACATAGATAAGCTGCTAATATACCAGACTATTTGTTTGCTGCAGGTCATAAAAGAGGGATTTCTGGATCCTTCCTCCATTTTTAGACCATAGATATACAATACAGTATTATATACAAGTAATATCTCCGTTAGCTGGAATCCTCCTTAACCGAAACCCTCCGATAGCTGTACAGTAATTGAAACTTGCTTGGAATTTTCCAAAAAATTCCAAGTTTGGGAATAATTTTTCGAGGGGCTCATTTTCTGTAAAATTATGAGAAAAATTTCCTGTTACCCAGAAAATTCCAAGTACAGAGGATTTTTTTCTGGGTTTGAGAGATGAAAATCAGGTGCATTTTCCATAAATTCTGAAAAAAAATATTTTGGTACCCGGAAAAATTCCGGAGATGGGGAATTTTTTTCCAGGTTTGAGACCTGAAATGATGCATCATTCTGGAAAATTCCGGGGATGGGGAACTTTTTCCGGGTTCGAGAGAGTCGTCTCGTTACCCGGAAATCTGCCATTCCTGGAAGTGCTCTGTACCAATTGTTCCGACTACCTGTAGAACTGTAATGAATTTAAATTTTTCTTGCCCAATTGTAAAAGAGGTATGATGGCTGTGTGGATACAGCACTCGCTTCCCATCCTAAGGGTTGCAGGTTCACAGCCTGAGCATCCCCATTCCACCCAGCTGTGAGTGGGTACCTGACTTTACAATTGGGGAAGTGAAGACATTCAAGAACAGATCCAGCCACACTGTCTGCTTGTTAACTGAAAGATACATACATTGTGTTGTATTCACACTGCCCCTAATGGGCCATCAAGCCTATTATTCCTGCCTTCACTTTTAACTGTAAATAGAGTAGGTAGTTTAGTACAGTATACTATATGTTATTGTTAACTACAGAAAAGGCTATATTATATTATGTTAGTAATTTGGTGTTTAATATTTGAAATGGAAGAATGAAAGAGCATCATAATGGATGTAGATTGTCTGTAGTACAATTACATTTGTAGAACTGTTGTAGTTAACTTATGATCCAGTCCAGAAAAGACAATTACAGATTATATATATTATAGTCATAGACAATAATTAATGATAATACAGTAATGGGATTTTCAAGGTGAATTTCAGTGAACTTATAAAGTTCACTACAATTACAGTTCATTATTCTGTATGTAATACTCTGTTATGTTCCCTGGTTGTTGAAGAATTAATTATCTAAGATAAAGGGAAATGTTACAAAATTTATGTAAATTTAAAATAAATGAGTTTTGTTAATAAAAGTTTTTTGTGATCCTTGATTGGTTGGTTTTCAATGTTCTTGGAAAGCATTTTAACCCAGAGAATATATATACGGTATGTATACATATTACTTATTGCAAACAAGTAGTGTTGTTTAATGACCAGTGTACTTACAGGATTACAGTACTGTACTGTACAATTATTCATATGACCTATAGTCAAGAGCTGCACAATAATAAAACATGTGACGACCTTATCTTTGTCACAAAGCTATCACAGTTAATAATTAGGGTGTACAGTTCTGTATTTACATAAGCACACTTCCTGGATGTAAGTGCTGGTGTGGTAGCAACTAGCACCTTACTCGTGTCATGTCAAAGGCTCCACTAGCCAGTCTAACTTGGGCCAAGTGCTCACAGGCTCGTGGATTTCCACTTCCCTAGAAGTTGGTAGTTACTAAATTTTTCAATCACTAGTGTGCTAGTGGAACGGGCAGTTGTAATTTGCGGTGATGGGTGTTTGATTCATAATAGTTTTCAGTGCAGCTTGAAATGTATCATATTACATATTTTATGTTTACAGGTTCAGATTAATATTTAATCTTGGTGCCAACTAATTTGTGACTCACTGTACAGTTGCCATTTGTACAGATTTATCTGCAGGTTTATTGATTTCTCATGTCTGTTCTAATATATTTTCTGAATAGGGCTAAAATATTAGTGTTATTGTATAAGGTCTAAAACTTGCTTGTGATTGAGAATTTATAGGGTAGAATAGACATATAAAAGTTTTAGACAAAACTGAACGATACCACTGCGGGTGTGAGTGGGCACCATGTGTCAACAGAAACTACTGTATGCTAGTGCTGGCATACAAAGGTTCCTATCGCGGTTCCTATTGCATCCTAGTAAACACTTTGTATAAATGCATCCTGTGGTGATACAGTATTTTGGTTGCCACAGTTTGGCTAATTTTTTAAGTCTCCTCTTGCTTGAGGTATTTTAATGAAACTTGCAGAGTATAATAGAACCTTCTAGCTCACCGATCAGTACAGCACAGTACTTAAAAAAATGGGATACCAAAGTACCCTTTGCTTAGCACTTACACATTGTCACTTGGACTATTACTGCTCGCCATGGTACTCTGTCCAAACACAAGCTAAAATCCAAGCTACAAATTGTTCACAACATGGTGTTAAGGTTCATTCTTAACATGAAAGCCAGAGATCACGTTGGTCATTCCATTACTAACCTGCCCCACTCTTTCCTGCCACTATCACTCACTGGTGTTAGGCAGAAGTTCTACTTGTAACAGGAATACTGTAGTAAAAATACTACAGGTAATATGTTTCATAACTAATTTATTTAGTTTTTAACACTACAGTGAGTTTTGTGTGTGTGTGTGTGTGTGTGCATGCTTATCACATAATCTTCTGTACAGACAACATATATTCATGTCTGATATATGTGTAAGTGAATTTTAACCCTCAATAGGTAGTAGTACACTTACGGTCATCACCATTTTACAAAAATCACACTACTGTATTAACCTCCCATACTTAACAATACAATGAGTGAAGAATAAGTGTACATATGTTGTAGCATCAAGTATTATTGAGAACTTTTCACTAACTGCCTCAAGTATTACACTCAACACACTCTTCTTTGAGTTTGCACCAAGTACTGTTTTAAATACAATACAGTACAGGTACAAAACAGAACAAATTGCAGATGATTTAAGTCATTTTACAGACAACCTATACTCTTGCCATACTAACCTGGCCCGTAGGCCCCGCCCCTCTTCTGTATTAATAGCTGATTGGTTCATAGAAAATTCAAACTAAATGTGTTCACAATTGGTAAGCAGACCTGTTATTATCTAAAATAATGTTAGATATATGGATTATCAAAATGCAAATCATTTCAAGGCATTAGCACTTCTGAGAGGAAGTTAGAAAATTTTTAATATTTATTTAAAAGGTCGATATAAATACGCGCTTATATACACACAGTCCGGGGGGGAGGGGGGGTCAAAATGCTCAGGGGAACCAATCACCTATTTGTAGCTATAGACGAGGGGTGGGGCATTTGGGCCAGCTTTGCATGGAAATACTATAATCATCTTGTTGCAGGAGATGAACATGTAAAAGGTGATTAACGGTAGCATATTACAAGTGATCAAAATGTGACAGGCAATCAATATGTCGTAGGTGATCAGTATGATGCACCTGATCTGATAAACATATTCCCCAACAAAATTTATATCACAAGTAAGATATGTTTTGAAGTCCAAATGCAAAATGTTCAACTGCTCAACTTGTGTGAGAAGAATGACCAGTTTATGTCTGTTTATTGTATAATATGGACACGAAGTAGTACCTTAAGCTGTGTATTCTTATATTACTCTATTAATTATGTATAGTAAAGTATTACAGAACATGTATTAATCCTATGTAATATAAGAATACACAGCTTAAAGTACTACTTCGTGTCCATATTATACATTTATTGTGTAATGTTACATCATGCGCACTATACATACAGTGTATATAATGTCATGCAGGTTTCAGATATCAGTAGTCCTCATTACGAGTGTCAGTCCAGTTTTAATACAGGTTGTGGTCCTTTCTTCATGATGAATGAGGAATCTCCATTGGTCCAGCTGTCACCAGGCCACTGCACTGTCCCTCACCTGGCCCTGTAGAAAATGGATCCACCTCCACCTGCCAAGTTTTGGGCTTCGTGATCACCTCCACCAAAAAGATGAGGAGACCCATCACCAACCCTGACAATGTAAGGGTGGGGGGTGCAGGTCATCAGGTGAGATGCATAAGTAGTGTTAAGGAGTCATGTCATGGGTTCAAAGGTGGCAATGTGATGATAACTGATGTTGGGGCCTCTTTGTGTGTGTGTGTGTGTGTATGTGCATGCATGCATGTTTGTGTGTGTGTGTCAGTCATCCTTGAACCTCTGACAGGACCCCATAAGCTTGACACATGACACATTCTACCAAGGTAAATTGTTTGAGTTTTTAAAAGTCTGTGGCAAAAATTAGTTGCATTATTCCATTTAGATACTGAAATGGCAGACATAACAGAAAGGTTTAGGTTAGGAAGATTAAGTTAAGAGAGGTTAGATTAGGTTAGGAAACTTACGTAAGGTAAGGTCAGGTATTTACTTACATTCAAATTTTTATCAAGCTTACTGATTGTACTTTAATTTTACTGTGTGATTTTATCAAGATTTAATTTTATTAGTGTGTTCTGTACTGTTGCCAGAGTCATGTTCCAGAACCTTCTCTTAATCTGTGTCAGTTGATTGCTGGGCTGTGGTGTGACTAGTTGGTGGTTATTACTTCTCTCAGGACCATGTTCCTTTGTGTATGTGTTACAGTGATTGCTAATTTGAATACATAGTCTATTATTAATCTTATAACTATGTGTTTACCTAATCCCTCACCAGTTCCTTGCAGTTATTGTCTCACAGGTACCACAATGACATTACTAACATTTCCACTCTATTGTGCAGTGTGACTGGTGTCAAGTGCTGGGATGCCTCTAGTCTAGATTACAATACAAGTGGAGTTTTACTGGTTGAATTGTCTTTCCTCCTCATCTTCTCTACAGCACCTGTATCTCTACACCTCATTACAACACACTCTACCTTACATCTGTTCTAGTACACAGAGCAGAGACTTAAAATGATTACAGTGGTGTAAGCGAACTGGGATCACACACCCCACACCATATTGTTATATGGTTACTCATCTACTAAATGCTTACACCAGTGACACTTGTAATCTACAAACCTAATATGGTGTATACACACACACACACATCCTTGTAGATGGTACATGAAACTGTTCGTATACAGATGGACAGTACTCCTGTTCACATAGTTAGACAAGAGGGTCTTCTCACCTGAAGCGTAGATGGACAGGAGGCCGTAGAAGTCTCCCAGCTCAAGGGCACGGAGGGCGGTGGGTGTCTGGGTTGTGCCACGCCAAAGACATTCAGTGAAGTTAGAGACCCATTGCTGCAGGAGGTGGTCCAAGATGCCAAACTCCTTCAGTCCCCGGATCCTGTTAAGAGTAGGAGGAGAGGGAGGAGGAAGAGAGGGTGGAAGAGGAGAATGTGATGATAAACATTCACTGCAGTTTAATGTTAAATATTTTACGCTGTTTTTGAAATGTGTGTTTTATGTGTGTAGAGTTTTATTAGGTACTGTACAAGTATTTTGGATTAACCGAAGATTACACACCCCAGCTTTCTTCACTTGAAGATTAACCATCCAAACACTACCTGGAGGGTTAGGTTAGGTTAGGTTAGATTATGGTTGATTAATTTAGGTTAAGTTAGCTTAGGTTAGGGTAAGTTTGTAAAGGATAACTTAGGTTAGAGTGAGTTAGGCTTGGTTGGGTTTAGTTAAGTTAGATTAAGTTAGGGTAATGTAGGTGAAGTTAACAGTAGAACAGACACATGACACCACACACTGCAGTGGAACAGACATACTTACACTACGTCAAACTTCGCCTTAAGCGGAGATCCTCGCTGGAAAGCCATACTCATTGGAGGACTCTGCAAGATCCGTCCAGGCATCACAAACAGCCCACACTTGCCTGTCTATAAGAGGAAAATGCTGTTACCTGCCAGTCTATGTCTGTTTCAGTCCCTATCTTTCTCATATTGTTTATCTGTGTCTGTGAGAGAATATGTCTCACTGTTTGTGGGAAGAATATTGTTATCTGTCTTTCAGTCATTCAATCTTTTCTTCGTCTTTCTGTTTTCTGTCTTTGGTTATGTCTCTCCTCTATTTGAACATCTATCTGTCTCTCTCCTTTTTTCTCCTTTTCCTTTCTCTCTTTTACTCTTTCCCTCACCCACCCTCTCCCATCTCTTCCTCCCCATCCTCATCCATCTTCCAATCCACATCCTTTCCTTCCTTCCCTCAGTACCTTGCTAAAAACTTTGTGCTCGATGAACATAAAGGAGCTGAGTGTTGACACGGTGGCATGGACCCCAGCATAGGTGTTCCTGATGACCTTCGGCACTTCCATGTTCCAAAATATCTGGCCACGCAGTTGACCAAATGGGGAATCCTCAGACGCCGCCTAGAAAAAAGGTACAATGTAATTGTTTTGAAGGGGTTAAGGCAAAATGCTGAAAGGGATATTGTATGAGCTATTATATTCAAGGAATAATTTATTGTATTCAAGGGGTTAAGCCATTATATTCAAGGTGTTCATCGTACTCAGTGGGTTACAACTTCTTACTCAAGGGGTAAAGTAATTATACCCAAAGGGTTCAAAACCGATATGCTCAAGATAATTCATATTCAAATTACAATTCTCAAGTCATGGAAAAAATATAAAATTTGATAACAATTAACATTGAGAATGACAATCAATAATAATTACAACAAACATTAATAATGAATAAAACACTTTTAATAATAAAGTAATAATAAGAAAGATCAAGTAGTAACTGAATAGCTTAAAAATTAGGTACCAGAGAGATAGAAAACCTTGGAGGATTATTAAAAACAACCCGAGAATGTTTAGAGTGGAGGACTGTGGTCACCAGACCTTAGAGATGAGGATGGTACGGTACAGTACAGTGTTCAGATTGATTGATTGATTAATTAACCGATAATAATAATAAAATGTACAGTACAGTATACTAATAAATTATAAGTTCATAATCATAAGTATTAAAAATTAATACTGTAATTACATTGAATATTGATACTACATAACCATAACAATGGCAAGCTGTTCACTGAGGAATACCGTACATTCAGGACATTCAAAGTTATCAGAGAGAATGAGCGAGTGATGATTACCTCCTCCTTCACCTACTGTTTCATAGGTCGTACACATTAGGAAAATGTTCTCTTTTCTTTTTCAAATGAGGGAATCATAATGAGTCAACAAAGATGGTAGAGAAATTAATACTCAAGGAAAGTCAGTTTAATATTCCTTTAAGGAGAACCAGGTGCATACAGTAGAGGCTGTTGATTAGATTCTTTTGCAATTGATTGGAGTGTAGTATCTGGTTCTCCATAAATGAATAATAAACTGACTCTTTCCTCGAGTGTTAATTTCCCTGCCATTTTTTGTTGACTCATTATGATTCCCTCATCTGAAAAAAAAAAGGATTAGAATATTAATTTTATCATGCTGCACGGCCTGAGACATCCTGTATAAAGGAGCGACCCATAAATATACTGTATAGCAAAGAGGAAGAAATACTGAAAGGGGTTCTGGTAGAACAACATGGAGTGATGAGATCCTTAATGTGATAATAAGAGTTAGGTAAAGAGACAAACTACGGATGAAGGTACTGTACTCACTGAAGATGATGATAATGAAGATAATATATATACAGTATATGTATCATAAATTGGGTGGGTGTCAATTACCATAATTGTCTGGTGCACGTAGTTAGACTCGCTGACAAAAACTGGTATCTTAGACTCTACTAGTTCATGGATGTTGTTGAAGGGGAGGCTGATCCTGGGGGTGATTAACTTGGCCTTGAGGTTTGAGCGATACACAGTGCTGAGGATGAAGGCGGTTACCATCCACAACCCTGTCATCACTCGCACTGACCACATCACAGGCGCCCACGGGCAGTCTGTCCGGGTCAAAGTATAGACACAAGGACAGAAAGATACATAGACAGCAAAACAGACAAACACATGGATAGAAAGACAGACAGACACAACGACAGTGACACACAACAATCAAATAGGTGAGTATTAACCTAATACCTGTATATTCATGTGAGATTTAAGGGCCAACAGAAAAACAATTAGAAACAGGATGTTACTTGTACTAGGATGGGCTGTTTAGGAGTCAGACAAATAGACAAGAGTGGCAGACAGACATTTCCTTCACTGACCCTGACAGAACAGTATAGAGACAGTCCACATAGCAGAGAGGTCTGCTGTGTGACGGGTGGCAGCCAGGTAGTCCAACCTTCCTCCTGCTGGATGACATTCTCCAGCCTCCACAGTGTCTCTGTGTTAAGTGGTAGATGTTACCAGTGCCATCCAACGATAATAACTAATAATAACACAGGCAGTCTTAACTCTATCCACTCCAGCTATACCTATTTTTTCCTGTCATGCAATTTTCAACAGGTTACCAACAGGTGTCCAAACTTCTTTCTCTCTCTTTCACTATCTTGGATAATATCACTTCGAGATGAAATTAACCCAATATATTAACAAAGATCTCAAATCCTTTTATGCATATCCTAGCTGAATGTTATACAGTACTGTATATATATATATATATATATATATATATATATATATATATATATATATATATATATATATATATATATATATATATATATATATATATATATAATATATATATATATATATATACATATATATATAATCCACCCTCCATGATCAGAGTGATTGCTGAAACTGGAGATATAGCGGGGATGCAGTCATATATAGGTGGGGCTGGTTGAATTATATATATATATATATATATATATATATATATACATATATATATATAGACTCCCGACCGACGACCGTACGGGACTTACGATCCGCCGCAAAAATTTTTAAAAACACACGCATTTTCTATACCGAAACGTTTCCAGTTAATGTAGTCTCCATGTATAATTAGAAAATTATGGGGGCCCCATGTGCATTCAGCTGACTACATTAAAGGTTAAGTGCTCAGTCACACTGTATCCATTCCTTATTATTTATTACTTTCACTGTACTGTATCCATTCATCATTATTCATTACTTTTACTGTACTGTATTTCATTGTAGATTTTTTATTCCCTAACCCCGTCGGAAGTCGGAGTCTAGGTGTATATATATATATATATATATATATATATATATATATATATATATATATATATATATATATATATATATATATATATATATATATATATATATATGAATCTCCGTCAACGAATTCAATCCGTTCCAGAAGGTCATTCGTTAACCGAAAAGTTGTTAACCGATACGACCGCCGAAGTTGTATCAAGATATATATATATATATACCAGTAAAACCTCGATTAACCGACTTTCGGATTAACTGTCAATCCTGAACCCCCCCTTTTTTTTTACGGGGATTAGCCCACCCGGGCACAGGTCACTGACCCACATCGGGGCCTGGGGGGCGATAATGTAATAATATTAATAATGCTAATGCTAATAATAATAATAATAATAGTAATAAAGAGCCATAAAGAAATGGAAAAATGAAAAAAAAATCAAGAGTGAGAAACACTGTACCTGTATGTTTGTTGTGTTGCCAATAGTAAGAGAAACAATAGAGACCCTGCAATTGTGTGTAAATGAGGCAGAAAGTCAGATCAGCAACCTGGGACTTGGTCACAATTTTTGTGATGACATGTTCTTTGACTTTTCCATTTTTTATTCATGGTTTCTGTGCTGGTTCATATTTATTTACTAAAGTGGTTAATGTTTTAAAGCAAATTCTATTGAAATATGAATGGCAAATGAACAAAAATGAATAGAGGGACTTAAATGAGGTCGGTTAGGGAAAGGTACATTGAAAATGTATGTGTTATTTCCGTAGACTGCATGTACTATTAACCGACCTTTTCGATTATCCGTCGGCCCCTTCCCCCCCATATGTGGTCGGTTAATCGAGGTTATGGAAAAATGTTCTCGGAAGTTCCAGAATGATGCATTACAGTATATCATCTCTCGAATCCGGAAAAATATTCCCCATCCAGGGAAATTTTCCGAGTACCATAAATATTTTCTCAGAAAGTGATCCTGATTTTCATCTCGGTGACTGACTGGTAAGTTAAGGAGACTCACGAAGGAAAGAAAGCTGAAAGAACCGCCCGTCCTAGGAGGGTGAGCCAGGTGGCAGCAAAGATGAGCACTGTAGTCAGGAAGATGAGGAGCCACACCTGCAGTGGAAATTACCACAGTCACGTCTGGCATAAACAGATGTCCGTGTACAGTCATGTTTACAACAACCAAAGATATGCAGTGTTCCTGAATATGTACAGCCACAACATAAATTTTCGGATGATACAGTACCTACAAAATTTTTTTTGAGAAAACAAAATTAAAAATAATTAAACTTGTTGGGCGATTTAGTATTGATGGATACAGACAGAAAAATACATAACTAGAGCCGCGTACTCAAAAGCATTTATGGGACTGTATCTCTTTGTTTACCCCGTAACTGAACTTAGTCTCCGATCGGTATACTCAAAACATATTTGGCAGTGGACTCCTTAAGTGAGCCCGTAATCGAGGCCATAACTTACAGGACCTCCTTAGGTGCTGTAACACGCTCAACCAGGATATAGTAGTCGCTATTTTCCTAATTTGTATTTCTATATCTGTACTTTTATTGACTATCTCTGAATAAATTACTCACATCTGAGTTTGGTATATGATTGAATATCTTTAACTTAACAGGACAAAGCCCAGACAACGAAGATAGATTTTGTTTTGTGAGGGGAAGTTATTTACCAAACAAACAGATCCACGTCTGCTGACAAACTGGATGAGAAAGCTCATGCTTTCTCTTTTGGGTCCTGGAAACAAATTGAATGCTATGTCTTTTATCACTTATTGCTGTGCCACAAAATACAGGTGCAAGCCATTCACAGATGCAGGCCAATTGGTACTACAAATATGTAAGTCACTTAGTAGCTTAGACTCACCAGGGGGGTGTAGGGCTTGAGAAAGCCAGCTATGTCAGAACCCAGCACTGGTCGCTTGTAAGACACCACAAACTCGTCCATAAATAATGGCTCACTGAAGTCTACAGCGAGATGGCGTTTCAGCGTGCTGCCTAATATTCCTGTGAAGTCCGCCTCCTGAGTAGTAGGGGAGAGGAAGTTAAATTGTTACCTACGAGTATAAAGGAAGTGACTGATTAAAAATAAGATCCCTTATAAAGGAACCAGTAAAGTTTTGATTTTCACAGGCAACAGGAGGAGGCGATTGAGCCTCTAGAATCTAAATGGAGATGGGATATGTTTGAGTTCTTCCAGCTGATTATAACTAGAAATGGTTTCAGAAAAGTAAATTGGATGCACACAAAATGGAATATTCTTCAAAATACCGACCAAACTGTTTGCTTGTTTTGTATGCGATGGGTCTAGTATAATTGACGGTGATGTTGATGGCTCTGGTGGTGGCAGTAGTGATGGTAGTATGGTAGTGCTGATAATAGTGGTAGTAATACAGATGGTGATCTGGTAATTATGATGGTAGTAAAGGACATTACAGTAATAATGATAGTGTTGACAGCTGTAGTGGGCAAGTGTTGGTGACAATAGAGTTGGTGATAGCGGTGTTGATGACAGTGGTGGTGTTATGGTCACAATAGCACGGCTAGTAATTTCAACACTTATTTACTGTATTCATATTTTGATCCACCATCCAAAAAACGTGTGAAACTGATGAGTTAGCCCTAGGAAGAGACTTGTTACAATGTAAAGTTAAATTTAAGAGATAAAGTGTATGAGTAGCCATAAGTCAGATATACCTACAGTGAGCTAAAGCATTTAAGATGTCCTGTTAGTACCACCTTGGTTAAATGATTGTTATATTATAGATTATGTTCTGATAGAAAAACCTGGGTGGTGGCAGCTACTGTGAGTATTGAAGATTGTAACATATCAAGGGGTTTCCCAGGTAAGCCTGTATTGGATGTACAATGCAGCTTGGTGCTGGGAAGGCAGCGTGGTTACAAGCGTGATGTAGAGAGAGCTGGTTGGTGAGGGTGCTCAGAGGAGGACCAGCTTGTGGGTCGCCATGCTCTCCGGCGGGAACGAGGACCGCCAGGCAGGCGGAGGAGGAGGAGGTGTTGCTGGGTGGTTGCTGTGGGTAGAAAGGGACAGGTCACCACGAGGTCATGTCTTAAATAGTGGGGGGTAGACGTGACTTAGTAGTTGACCCCCGCTCCGTGATGTATGGCGGCGCTGGTTGACCTAGACCACGAGGCATACACTGGGGAATTGGTGGGGTCGGCTACTCAGCGACAAACAGCGTTTGTAGGGGAGAAATCCACTACAATACTCCCCCTTCCCTCCAGGCGGTGTAGGAGAGTTGTTGTCTGCAGGGTTGCATAGCACATGTGAGGCAGAACGGGCGGTGCATGCCTCATGTGAGACAACGGCGATGGCGTGGATGAGCCGGTCGCTGGACACAACTGTCTAGATACACAATATCTGTGGGAGTAAAGAGGGAGAAAAATGGTGTGTGGAGGCGATGAATTTTGTGCTTCCCTCACGGCAGGTACAGAGTCGTCAGGTGCACCTGCTGGGGTGTGTGGGCCTGGGTCAGGAGCAGGGGCTGCGTCAGCAGAAGAGGGCTCGTGACAGCAGCTGGGTCCACGACAGCAGCAGGGTGCAGGACATTAGCAGGGAGCACCTGAGGGAGAAAAGAGGGGTGTGTGGGTCCGCACTCAGGAACAGGGGCCGCATCAGGAGAAGCGGCAGGGGGTACTGCTGGGCCGGGGTCGACGTCTGAGGCAGGACGGGTGTGTAGGTCCGCGTCAGGAGCAGGGGCCGCATCAGGGGCGGCAGGGGTTACTGCTGGGCCGGGGTCGGCGTCTGAGGCAGGACAGGTGTGCTGGGGTCGGAAGAGGAGCGACTGTCTGCTTAGAGTAGCAGAGCAGCTCTAGGGTGTCTAACCTGCGGTGTAGAGACAGTAGTTGTAGAGCCGATGAGAGCTGCTTCTGGGTGGATAAGCCAGTCTTCCATGTTGCTTGAAGACTGGCAGCGTGATCTGTTTCTCCTCCATCCTGTATTAGTGCGAATCTCCGGGGGTCACCATTTGTGGGGGTATAAGATGTTTGGTGGCTCACCATTTGTGGGGTTTTTGGGATGTTTGGTTCACACTCAGGATGGGGTGGAGAAAGGAAACTTACAATGTGCTCTCTATATACATGTTGTATTGGATGTACAATGCAGCTTGGTGCTGGGAAGGCAGCATGGTTACAAGCGTGATCCATATGAAGAAAGACTGAAAAGCTTAGGCTTACATTCATTAGAGAGGCGTAGAGTTAGGGGAGATATGATAGAGGTGTACAAGTGGGTAAGTGGGATTAACAAGGGTAAAATGGAAGATGTTCTGAAGCTCAGTAATAACGAAATAACTAGAACAAATGGCTTTAAATTAGATAAATTCCGATTCAGAAAGGATATAGGCAAGCACTGGTTTGGTAATAGAGTTGTGGATATGTGGAATAGGCTACCGATTGCTATAGTAGGATCGGGGACGCTAGGGAGCTTCAAGACGAAGTTGGATAGGCACATGGAAGTGCTGGGATGGGTGTGAAAGGGATCTGCCCTGTATGGGCCAGTCGGCCTCCTGCAGTATCCCACTTTCTTATGTTCTTATGTTCTTATGTGATGTAGAGAGAGCTGGTTGGTGAGAGTGCTCAGAGGAGGACCAGCTTGTGGGTCGCCATGCTCTCCGGCGGGAGCGAGGACCGCCAGGCAGGCGGAGGAGGAGGAGGTGTTGCTGGCTGGTTGATGTGGGTAGAAAGGGACAGGTCACCACGAGGTCAGGTCTTAAATAGCGGGGGGTAGGCGTGGCTTAGTAGTTGACCCCCGCTCCGTGATGTATGGCGGCGCTGGTTGACCTAGACCACGAGGCATACACTGGGGAATTGGTGGGGTCGGCTACTCAGCGACAAATAGCGTTTGTAGGGGAGAAATCCACTACGAGCCCTAGGTCAGAATATAACTAGATATGTAAAATAGAACAGAAAATAGAGAAACAAATATAAAGAAAGATAAATATTTTGAGAAGTTAAAGAAAAACGAGAGAAGTAAATTCAGCCTATATAAAATGGTTAAGAGCAGTGGGATAAATCGATAAAAATAAACTAACTCCCCCTATATTAAATTGAGTCGAGCAGTATAAATATATAAAAAATGCGACACCTACAGTGGCAATGGTGTCAGTGAGTGATGGTGGCAGTGTTGGTGACAATAGTGGTAGTGGTTAGTTGTGATAAGTGATAGTGGTCGCATTACGGAGTCTGCCAACTACTGTACTGCCAAACACGACATTGCCATCAAAGAGGTTTAATATAGGTGGAGGCGACAGTCACCCCGCGCGGCCCAGTGGGGAGTGGAAGCCAGCACCAGCTGACCTGGTGGCCGCCATACTGGTAGGGGGTAGGGTGCGAGCGCCAGTACAAGCAACTTATCTTTTAATTCTTCCCCTTTCATTACTGGCAAATAAAATAGGAGTCAGTATTGTAATATAATTATATTTTTAATAAGACACCTCACATTAAAGACTAAATTATACACAATTTATGAAATAATATGATCATATACTGCTTTTCATGACATACGTAAGCACTCGGCATATATTACCTACAATCCATTACAAAGCCAACTTATTATGATTTTGGCGACTTTTTCATTTTTTTTCTGTTTGTGTAGATTAAACGTGTATTGTTTTCCTGCATAGGAATGCCTTACTTCAAGGTAGATTTCACAAACTGCATTGATCAATAAAAAAAAAGATGATTGCTTAATGGCTCTGTCAGCCATGTGAGGAAGAAGCTCTGAAAAAAAAATATTTGAATGATTAATTAACAGACAACGATTTTCTGCCTATTGTATGGGTTAGAAGTCAGAGAAGTGACATTGTTCCTGAAATTTTTTCCACAACTTTGACAAATCTTAACATCTAGTGAAGAAAATCTCAAGTCCCCCTCTGTTCTTCAGCACAAGTGCATGAATTGAAAGAGGTTTTGGTGCTGTAAGAGCAGAGATACGGGTTTCACAGTTAGGCTTCTTATTTGGTTTGGATACAACAAAGCCAACAATGTATGCTACAACCTTCTCAGAGTATTCCGATAGACACGGACCTGAATATCAGGATATTTTTCTCCCATATGATGATTTAGCTCAAGGTCGTCAAGAGCTCGACTTAGGTGAGCTATTATTAATTGCATCAATAGCTGATACTCCAAATCTTGCCGTTTTGTTCAAGGTTACCAGAAGCTGTCAAGATGGGAATAGATTCAAGAGGAATACAGTTACCTTGCCAAATTTCTTTTATTTCATTGTGCAATAGCAATTTCTTTTCGGCAGCTGAAAATTGCAGAGCAGTGGGATTATTGCTGCATCCACCTGACTGTGACGGGACCTTTCTATCCCCTACTAATATGGCAGCCACTCACTCGCGCGGGCTTCACTCGGCGTCCTCATTGCCGTCTCCACTTATAGTAAACCTCCTTGATTGCCAGTGAAGAAGATGAGAAACTTACAGTTCTGTTTACTTGACCAATAATCCCAGTAGCTGTCCCATTGTCAAACACATCACCGTAGAGCTTGTCTGCCGGCACAACATACTGGTAGCTGCAACACAATATTGGTAGCTACAACAAACTTCGATATTATCAGCTGCAACACAATATTGGTATATAGAACATGTTTATAATGGTAGCAGCAATATAATACCGGCAGCTGAAACTGGTAGTTGCAACACAAGACTGGAAGGTGCAACAAATGCTAATCTACATTAATATTTGTAGCTACAACAGTACTAGCAACAGTAATGATAGCGGCAACAAAATACCAGTAGCTTCAACAGTACCGGTGCCTGCAACACACATTAAAGTGGCAGTTGCAACACAACAATAGCAGCCACAACTCATTTTTATGACAAAGGAAGATTCTTACCAGAAGCTGAAGTGTTGAGCCAGTATGTCGAAAACTGTCACCATCATTCCTGTCACCGAGATGTGTGGCGGGCTACCCCTTATGGTGATGAAGTCTGGGAACTGAAATGTACTTTATTGAGAGAGTGAAGAGTGTGAGTGTGAATTCCTTCCACTTAATTTTCCACCATCTCCCCTTTATTTCAAACACATCTACAGTATTATAGAAGCGTTCTGACAAGGGTACTGAAACTTTCTGACAAAGGCTCGGAAGCAATCTGACAGAGGTTCTGAAACATTTTGACATGTTCTGAAGCCTTTTGACGGAGATTCTGACACCCCTGACATGTTCTGGAGCCCTCTGACAGAGGTTCTGAAGCCATCTGGCTACAAAAACTTACGTCAGTTACTGAAATTTTGAGACAAGACGCGTTGGTCTCCGCCATGGTGTTGTGAACTTGTGATCTGCTCAGAGATGCTATGGCTGTGCTTGATGTAAGGCTGACTGTGTTAGTTACAACACTTCCGAAGCTCTGGTTGTGTACTGCCTGTGAAACAGGGGTTGATTGCCTGATAGCATGGCCATGTGCGCACGCTTGTCACGTCACCACTTGTGTGACCAATAAGAAAAATGTCGGTCACATCATACGTGGAATAATAAATCGCTATTGGACAGTGATTGACGGACTTTCTAGTCAATGACTTTTTAAGACACTAATACCCGGTGTGATGATGATGAAATACTCGTGCATAGGCCTACACACACACACACATGGCAGCCTTTTGGCTGCCATGCTATTTCAAGAAATCGTTAATTATTATTATTATTATAATTATTATTATTATTATTATTATTATTATTATTATTATTGAACACACAAACACACAATGTATACATATAAAAATGTGGACGAAGTAGAAGCACACCTATTGTAGGAACCCGGTTTTGGTTGCCTGTGGCAGCAAAAGGCTAGTCAACCAATCATGAATCACGTCAGTTCATGAGATAACTACACATTTTCACGCTGATTGCTTACGTGTTGACCTTTTGCAAGAACAAATTAGTTGATGAAATCAGGTGAAGCCAGTCGGTACCTATGTTCGATGTCAGTGTGATTAATATCATTTCTCTCAACCTTTAGTTTGTTTGACAGGTTCTTGATTAAACTTTGGTTGTGTATTGTGTTCCTGAGAATAATGTCCTGCAGGTGGCGTCTGCCAAAGTAATACCGTATGTGTGTACCACTGCCTTCCCAACGGATGATTCAACAAATCGTTTTACCTAAATTTTGGATTTTGGCTCTTGATAAAAAGGTACAAGGTATTCATTCTAACCAAGTTTTACACATGATTCTTTATGTCATATAAGGCAGGTGATACTTACAAGAGCACCGGGGAGTGTTGACCACCTGCAGAAGTAACCCAGACACTGACCTGAGCCTCCCCCTGCGTCCAAACAATATGAGAACTTCCCCTCCGACGGCCGATTTAAGTAAAATTCGATATTAATGGAATGTGGGTTCTTCTATGGCATGATATGCTCTCATTCTTAAGAGTCCATGATTCCATGTTTTAACCTAAAATTTGTCTTTCGAAAAGAAAATTATACTTTCCACCTGGCTCATTCAGTCATGTAGGGCCGACTTAAAGTACATTTATATTGAAGTGCTCTTACTCCAGCTTAAGTACATTTTATGAAAAATATATCGTACTATACTTTAACTTAAATACAATACCAAAATCTGTAGAATAGGAAGTGCTTTCCTATACGAATACATGTCAATATTATAGGGGGTTATTTCTATTGAGTATATGGTATGGTATATAAGTTGTTACTGAGCGTTGTAGCAAAAAGAGTGTGTGTGTGTGTGTGTGTGTGTGTACAGTATTAGGGAAAGAGCGGGTTTGTGAGTTCACGAAGGACAGAGAATGTGTAGATCAAGAGTTTACATAAAAATACATTTATGACTTTAGGAAAATCATGTGATAGAGGAGATAGAAACATAATGAAAGAAGTATTGGAGACTGGCAGGATACAATAAATGAGAAACTTTATCTGTCAGAGTGTGTTGTGACGGCACCGGGTGTAAGTTCATTCGAGACAAGGTTTCTAATGCTGTACTGTGGTACTGTACTAGAATACTTCTTCAAAACCAGACTTGACCAACACTGGAGCAGGTAATATCAGTACCGCCCAAGCGGCTAACAGGCCGATCGGTGCTGACGAGAAGATAAAATTAAAGGATAAAGCTAAAAGTTTTTGAATGGTATCCAAAGTTTTGATGAGGAGAAAGGAACATGTGTTGTGGAGTGTGATGAGAAAAGGTAAACTGGTTATCGGTGGTAGTTGACTAGTGGTCATGAAGGCTGTTTTGTATTTTAACTAATGACGTAGTAAGAGAAGTGAAACTAACCGACAGAAGTAGAAAAAAGTGTTAGTATAAAATACCGAGAAATAATATGGGATGTAACTGGCAGGTGAGTCAGGTGGTGTTATCAGATGACACAATAGTAAATGACTCAGGAGCAGTCACGACTCAGGAGCAATCAGTGACAGCACTTCTGCGCTAGCGAGGCTCAAATTACCCTCCCCATCCTCCCCTGCCGCCCAACACACCCTAGCCTCCGTTACCGGGCTAGAACAAACTGATGACATCCGTGTCAAGTTTCTTTGGATCCCGTCACATATAGGAATAACTGCCTGTGACACTGTTGATCGGCTTGCCAAAGAAGCTACACAAGAAGAAGATACTGAAGCCACTCTCGCCCTCTCCCTGAATCATCTCAAATCTCGCATACACGCCACACAACGAGAGGCATTCAACGAAAATTGGACACACCTGAAACAACGGGGTAGCGTCACACTATGCCACTATGACGCTGTAACCGGTGACGACAACCACCACTACAAAGAATATCAATCCCTGACTCGATCTCAACAGCTTATATACATGAGACTACGCCTAGGGTACAGGTACCTATGGGAGTACATTGGCAACCCTGAGCCTCACCGCACTGTTTGTAAACTTTGTGGCCAACCCGACTCTCACACCCTCTCTCACTACATCCTCACTTGCCCTATGACCTCCTCCTATAGGTCCCCAGCCGTTACCAACACCTCTTCCCTCCCAGACCAGATATCCCTCCTCCTAGTCACAGGCCTGGCATTTGACATTATTAGGGACCTGCCACTCTTTGCCATAAACAGATAAAATGTACCGGGAACTTTCCCCCCACACACTCATCATTCTCTCACTTTATGTAACTTGACAGAACCTATGACCCTTCAGGCTTTTACGCCCTTAATGTACGAGTCATAAAGGCAAGTATGAACTTTTCATACTTCCCTGTTGGGCGCTGTAAACGCTTCTGCGTTTCACCTTGCACAGGATGTAAGGGGGTGCCCAATAAACTAGCCCCCTCGGGGGCAAATCTGAATCTGAATCTGACTCGGGAGCAGTCACAAATATTAGTGAGTGGGTTGAGAAGAGTGTTTGCTAGGAAATCGGTAACAGTGAATGTAAAGAGAAGCAAGTGATGAAAATAAGTAGAGAAAGGAGACTGATCAGTTAATGTTAGCTTGAATGAATATAGAAGAGAGGAGATGGATTGCTTCAGATAGCTAGGAATGGATATGTCAGCAAATGGAATGAGTGATGGACTGACTCACAGAGTTGCGAGAGAGAAGTGATGGATTGATAAATGTGTATACTGTACAGTACAAAGAGCTGGATAACCAACCGTATCAAAGAGGCAAAGATGGGGATGTACAGTAAGAGAGAGTTGAACCCAGATTTCAAAGGCTACTTTTCAGAAATTAAGTACTGTGCATAATAAAATAGTAATTTTTATACTCGAACTTAAGTACAACATTATTGATAAAGGCTTGTACTCTAACATAAATAACAAATCACAGTATTCCCCATACCTTTGGTAGGGGACACACACTCTGGCAGGTTGTTCCAAAAGTTCACAAATTTCTTTCCGAAAAAGTTCGCCCTCACAGATTTGTTTTTAGATTGCCCCCGAGGGGGCTAGTTTATTGGGCACCCCCTTACATTCTGTGCAAGGTGAAGCGCAGAAGCGTTTACAGCGCCCATCTGGGAAGCATGCGGAGTTCATGCTTGCCTTTATGACTCATGCATTAAGGGCGTAAAAGCCTGAAGGGTCATGGCGTTTTGTCAGCAATATATATAAAGTGACAGAATGATGAGTGTGTGGTCCCTAATAATGTCAAGTGCCAGGCCATAGGCATTGACAATATTGAGGGACATACCTTTTAGTGTGATTGTGATGGCGTGTACGTCGGTAGTGTCGGCTTCAAGGGGGGCGTCGAGAGGCTGGTAGGGGACGTCCTTCTTGGCGTACTGTAGATATGTAGTCCACTAGCATGTCCGCATGGTGGAAAATTAATGTGGAGAACTGGAGTGGATGGGCCCCAGGCGCCGGCATGCCGGTGGGGGATGGGGAGCCGGGGGTAGTGTCCTCGGGTCCATGAGTGCGCGGTGGGTGGACAGGGGCAGCCGGGCAAAGGGCAGGCTCGGTGTGGACGCCAGCAGTGGTGCCAGGCAGGTTTATTAAGGTCATTTGGTATGATTTCATTTCTCCAGTCGATGCCGCCGTAGTTAAAGTCCCCCATGACAATGACAAAGAGGTGGATAGGGTTGAGCTCTTAAGTTCTTTTAATTTAGTAAGCTACAGACTGGGGATATGTAGATACACCAGACAATAAGTCACCGTGGCTGAAATCATAGTATACCTCCTTTACTTTATTTCTTATAGAATTATACATTTATTTATTAAATCCCTGTAATCTATAAATTGCCAATAAATTTCCACTACAAAATATTCAGATTTACATTAATAAACGCTTTATATTTATAATTACAAATATCATGTTTATAAATTTTATTTAAGTTACTCCTGTCAGTTTTGTGGTAGAAAACTTTGTGGAGAGCTTGTGTTTTAACCGCCGCCGTTTATAAACAAAACACAGCAGCAGGTGACGTGACGCAGCACCATGAACAACAACGACCTAGAAATCAACGACGGAGACCCAGAGAATATGACGAGTGACGCACAGAAGCCAGATAAAATGTTTACTCTCAAGAAATGGAACGCCGTGGCCATGTGGAGCTGGGATGTTGAATGTGACACTTGTGCCATCTGCAGGGTGCAAGTTATGGGTAGGTTACTGCTAATGAGAGGTTAATAATGGATATAAAGAAAATATTCTAGGATGATGCCGCCTAAGAACAGGAATTTTTTTTTCTAGAAATTTTCAGTAAAGATTCTTTTTGGTATTATCTTTTCGGTTAACCAGCGAATTTTATGATTTTAAGTTTAGGATGGGTTAGATTGAAATTGTGTTTTTCCGGTGGTTTTTGGTGTGTTTTGAACGATTCTGACTTACTTTCAAATAGGTGGATGTCCGAAACGATTATTTTACCTTCATTTAATGCCATAATGGGAATTTTTTAACGAAAATGGGGTTTCTTATGTTTTTCACGATGATTTGAAAGGATATGACCATGTTTGCCTCTGATGCTTATTTCTGGAGATATGAACCCTTTTAACACCAACAACAAATTGTTGTTGCTGGTGGCTGCCATATAAAGCGTGCAATGCACAAAGCCTCACAGGTTCAAGGGGGCCCACCAACCACTACATAATTTTAAAAGGTCTACTATTACTGCAAATTAAAAATGCAAATTGTTGAAACTGGAAATGGTAATTTCTGAAAACAGCACTACCACTAGAAGAATATGTTTGATTTCGTTCATTTTTTTCCACATATGTTCTTATCATTAATGTAAGTATTATTAAAGAGATGACAAAGTTTCATTTGAATTGTAAATATTTTTTTTTTTTTTTTCTCTACAGTCAAAAATCACCTGTAGTTGACTGGGCATGAAGGATGAGGGAAATTGCTTGGTAAAACAAGGTGAAAACTGATCATATGACACTAAAGTGATGTCTATGAGCTTCACTGTAAATACTCTGGCAAAAAATCTGCTGAGTCACCACATCTTGTCTGTTTGTTTGCAACCGACCCACTCGGACTGAACGTAATCTCATGTTTACAAAAATTTAAAATTACACCAAGATGCTTCAGCAAAGTTGCTTTCATTGGTACCCCCAGCTAGGAAGTTAGGTAAGGTTAGGTAGGATTCTTTGGTTGGTTAGGTCAGGTTCTATTAGGTTCTGTGCATTGTTATTTCATTTTTATTACTTACTATCATCCAAAGAACATGTGGAAAAATAAACGAAATCGAACAACTTTTTTTGGTGTTAGCCATATGCTTCAGGATGACCGAATATTTTAGTTGGATCACAGCAAACCAGCAGTTACATGTGATCTTTGAATGTTGGGGAGGAAGATTATGTGGAAATCATATAATAATGTTTAGATGAACACTCGTGTTCTGAGGGAGTATTCCGTCTGGTTCATGCACCTTACTCATATCCAACCTGGATAACACACCGGCAACCCTACGAGTGGAGATTATAGGAAAGTGCGTAGGTTCAGTAGGAGGAGCAGGAGTAGGAGTGATATACTGTAGTTAGTATCGTCTAAGGTGGAGTTAGAGGAGAATAAGGTGCCAAGGAGATTGGCTTTTTCAGGGGGAGAGTTGGCTATAGAATTATCAGATCAGAGGAAAAGAGGGAGTGCAGATGTTTTTGGTTCAGGACCAGAAGGATTTTCTAGAAGAAGAGTTAGTCAGGTCAGCAATCTTTTATTTTATAAAATTCCGCTTGGCCCTACGAACAATAACCTTACAACGATTCCTAGAAGTAATGAAAGAGGAGTGGGTAATAGGAGGAGATAGTTTCATAACTTGATACGCCCTATCTCTCTCCCTACATGCAAGCGAACAAGAGCAATCAAACCATGATTATAAAGTGAAAGTTTTGGTAGAAGATGGGATACATGCACTCATACCACCCTGTATAACCCCACCGAGGCATCTGGAGTGGAAAAGCAACATTCATCCCAAGGAAAGTTTGAGAATAATTCTCGCAAGTATTGCCATTTTGCCCTCTGATAGTGCCATAGTTAGCATTTAGAAGGGGGTGGGGGAGGTGGTCGTGCCCAGTTTGATTTAATAGATATAAGATTATGATCAGAAGACCCTACGGGGGCAGAAATTGAGTATGAATAATGTGAGGGGTTAGAGGTAAAACAGAGATCAAGAATCGTGTCGATCTGGAACACGTGTAAGGTGTTTAATTATTTGTTCCAGATCATTAAGTAAGGAAAAAAAATAGTGACTCAGCCCCATCTGGGTCATCCCTTGCAGAGCCAAGCCACTCTCTGTGATGTACATTGAAATCCCTGAGGTATCGGTTTTGGGGTGTGTGGATAGAAACGACTCATGGCAAGAAGTAAGATAGTCAAAGAGTTCCAAATAGTTGGTAGAGTTGGGAGAACAGTATAGGAAATAAAGAAAAATAGTCAAAATTGGTAGAGATATTTTGAGCCAGATGACATCATAAAGAGAAGACTCATTGAAAGCTTATTTGTAGACTTAATAACAATGTGAGTGTTAGAGGATAAAAGAGCATAATGGTTGTAAAATAACAGCATTATTTTAGCATATTTTGACTATAACTTGGGGGTAAGATTTGAAAATGGCAAAAAAATAACAATAAATTGATTCTTTATTGGTAAGTAAAATCATGGGATTTTTTTTTTCTTCATAATTTGGATTTTTATGAGCTGAAACTTCATCAATCAGGGACTGCCTGTAGTAGTCTATAGCCCATGGCACAGCAGAGTTGTAAAGTAACTAAATAAATTATCTTGAGTACTGTACTCAAGTAACATCTTTGGGTACAGTATTTACTTTTTAAAAAGTACTTAAAATTTTTAGTGCTGAAGCACGAAATTTGTTAATAATTGATCAATCGATATAAATTTCCTGTTAGCAATTAAGGACACCAGATACATTGTTACTATACCCCTGAATCAGTTCTGCCTAATCCCTGATATCTGGTTTTCCCTTTATTCTTATCAATTTTAAAAATCCTACTTCTCCATAACTTCTTGCTAAATTACATTGAAATTCATATGGAATATAGGTAATTTACTCTTCTTGAATTTACTCTGATTATCGCTTGTTTTGGGTGCATCAGTTTTTTTCCTAACTTAACATTTTTTCTCTAAATATTTATAAAGATAAATCAACAAATAATAAACCAAGCCTAATATAAAGAAAACCTATATGTTACACCATGCACAGTATGTTATCCTACTACCCTGTACTGTACTTGGTTTTTGTTTTATTTGAATCGGCTCATAAATGGCCAAGCCTTAGGGATTTGAAGTTTAGAAAAACTCGTTCTGAGATACGGGCCGATAAAGGTGGTGTGAGAGCAACTCCCGATCATACCTCACTCTCGCATGTTTGATGGGTCACTAACTCTCGTGACGATGGTCTCCTGTGGTTAGCTTACTGAGAAAGGTGCCAGATACTGATTTTTACCAGTTTTTCTTATGTAAACAGAAGGGCCCTCTAAATGAAGGGGGGGGGGGTTCAGGGTCTGTCCATTACTGTATTGACATGAATGTGAAATTGGATATCTTTGTTTATTTTTTTTTTTTAATGGAATGCATCCTTGGTATGTGACTGCTCTTAACATTTTAGATTTTCTGGGTGTTGTGTTGTATTTCCCTGTAAGATTATAAATATTGTGGTAAGCATATTTAGTCATAAATTGGAGGAAATAATTCTCTGATGTTACCTTTACTAAATACTCTTTGTTATCTCAGATGCGTGCCTTCGATGCCAGGGAGAAAATAAGCAGGATGACTGTGTAGTGATCTGGGGCGAGTGCAACCACTCTTTCCACAATTGTTGTATGAGTCTGTGGGTTAAACAGAACAACCGCTGTCCACTCTGTCAACAAGAATGGTCTGTACAGCGAGTTGGTAAATAGTCCTTCTAAAACAGGAAGGATACCCAAGTGTTTTTATCTTAATTGTAATAGTGACATTCAGTGTACGTACTACAGTACAATATTGATTGTGAAAATGTGTGTTCATTTAACAATATTACCGTTGAATAGACAAATTTTATAACATATTACCTCTGTTGTGACAAGAAAAAGTACCATTTTGAAAATATAAAAATGTATAATACTGTCCTCATTTTGTTCTCGTATTTAAGAGATATTTTCACCCTCATTAAAGCATTTCTTTTATATACTGGTACTGTACAAAGATTTTATATTGTCACTTAAAAGAATTTGACGATGTAATAAACATTATTTCATGAAACAAAAGATGAAGTTTTCCGCTATGGATATATCACAAATATTATTAGATCTGATACTGTACTGTAAATCATATGCTTTTGAATAGCTGCAGCCAAATTAACTCGTACCTTTTGATCCTAATAAGTAAATATGAGTACAGGGGGCCCCCCAAATTTGTGGGGGTTAGGTTCTTAAAATGGCCACGAATAACATTTGCGGACAGGAGGGGGGGTCACATTTTACTTGTGTACAAAGAAATGTATACCGGTATTCCCTTTTTGTGTTTGCCCTTAGGACAATTATTTCTTTTACCTATATTGTATATACAGGGTACGTTTGTGTGTGTAGACACACACACACACACATTTACAATACAGGTAAAGGAAATTACTGTCTCTAGAACGAATGGCTCCTGTCCCAGGCACAAAAATGCTGGCAACTTTAAGACTACCCACAGACATTTTTGAGTACATACAGGGTGTGATCCGCGAATAATAAAGGACCGTGAAATAAAAATCCGCGAATTTGGGGGGCCCCCTGTATGTGTATAAACTATGAAGTCATGGAGAGCATATGGTGTTGACAGACTATGATGGGAAATGTTTAATAAACAATAAGGAAGAATTTGTTCATAAAGATGTAATCATTCCCACTGATTCAGTATTCAGCGTAGTCTTGCATAATTTTTTACCACTGCAATACAATCTTCTTAAATCAGAGTTGATTTGATTTTGGATGGTTCACTGTATCATAAATGTCAGATTGAATGTGATGCTTTCTTCATATAACATGACTTGCTCATCATGACATCCACATTACTTTCATAGAACAAGTTACTCAATTTTTGTTGCCCAAGGTTAAAAAAGCCGGTGTAGCTTTTTTAAGTATGCTGTACGACTAAGGTGTTATTACTAATGGCAGGATAAACTTTGAGTTGTGTCTGAATACCCAATGATACATTTATATCCAGTTGCTTCAATGTTTTAGATCTCTTTAAAGGAGAGCTTGGAGAAGAAGATTGCTCTGTATACATGTCTGAAAGTTATGGTAATAAAACCAATAAATCAGTACAACAGAAGATCGTTTATCTGAAAATCCAAAAAATTAAACAAAATTTATTACACAAAAAATAGTCCATTACTCCAGAGTTCCACTATAGTTCCTGAAGACTCCACCACATCAAGCAGTGCTGCCTGCAGTCAGCAACCATGGCCACGTGCATACTTTTTACTCTTACAGTAGATGCTCTATCATGTCATCCCTTATGATGCTCTCAAGTACATTACACACTATGCTGTCAGGCTTACTGGTCTATAAGTATTTGTGGAGTGACAATCGCTCTTTTTTAATATAGGACCCACATAATATATTTTCCAGTCACTGGGGCCTTTTTGCTCTCATCCAGACATTTACAGAACAGGAGCTTAAGGAGCTCAGCAAGCTCATTACACTACTATCTTAACGCTGTGGGAAACACCATATCAGGGCCGGGATCTTATGAACCTTTAGCTTTGACAATTTATTTCTTATACCCTCTTCTGAGAAAACAATGCAGATCAGCGCTGTCTCAAACCATCTCTCCTCAAATGCAGGAAGTTTGTGAACACTGAGGAAAAGAATTTGTTCAACGCCTCCATCTTGTCTTGGTCAGAATCTGAGTAACTACCATCTTCAAGCCTCGGTTCCACTACACCTTTTCGCTTTTTTAATTTTGACTTTGCACGGCAATCACATCTGACACAACCCTTGCATTGCTCTCCTATACTGTATAATATTTTGATAATTGCATGGGTTGGTAGGACAGCGGTAACCAATGTGACAAGGGTTCGATCCTCGGCCTGGACACACGTACAAATCATCACAAGAGTCCCAGTCCCTGATTTCCTCCTTTTCCTTTTCATTTATCCTCTTCACCAAAAGATTGGCTTGCTAGCCGCCCGGGCGATCGGTCACGTCTCTGTCACGCACTGTTGGCAAGTACTGGACATGCACCGGCTCCTGAATGTACACTCGCACCAAAAAGTATCGGTGCAGGGTGAGATCGACGACTTCCGAAACGATACGTATACACTGTGATATGTCGGGAAGGTTGGTAAGTGTATCCTCATAACCCCCCACCTCCACTAGGTGTTGCCATATGGCTGATAATCAGTGTGTTTGTTTCCTCTTTTCGGATTGTTGCTTTGTGTCGACTGAATGATGAGTGAGGGTTCGGTCTCGGTGAACGTGGGTATAAAACAGAGGCAATATGAACTACACATGCCAGACGACATGGAAACCTCAGAGGGAACACGAGGAGCTATTATTGCCCTTCATAACGAAAGGTTCGGCGCCACAGATATTAGCCGGCGGATTGGTGTCCACAGGAACACCGCTGCACGATGGATTCCGCAATACCTCGAAACTGGTGCTACAGACGACAGGTCTCGGAGCGGCCGTCCACGCTGCACCACCCCTCAGGACGACCAGGTTGAGTGGTTTATTTGGTAGCATAAATTAATGTGGCAATATTCACAAGTATCACAAATAATTTTGTTAACAGGGAGCTCCTCATATTTCATGCTGTCTATTTATCACTTCCCGACCTTATTTATAACGGTTTGTTTCACTTGACCAGGCCATAGTAGCTGCTCAGCAGGATTACAGGGCTGCCAACATACGGCTGGAACAACTCGCCTTTTCCAATACCTATCGTCACTGGTCTCAAATTGTTCACACTACAGTATGCACCGATACTTTTTGTTGTGAGTGTACCTGAACCCTCTCCAGTGTTGGTCAAGTCTTGTCTTGAAAGAGCTCACACTCGGTGCCGTCACAACACTTTTTGGTAGATTGTTCCAAGAGTTTACAACCCTCATTCCGAAAAAGTTTGCCCTCACAGTTTTCTGGACTTGCGGCTTCTTCAAACTTGAGCTGTGACAAAGTTAAGAAGAAAACCCAGAAATTTAAGACGTGGGTTAGGACAAACGATGAGCAGGATAGGAGGATGTATGCCAGATCCAGAAACCAAGCAAAGGCAGAGTGTAGAAGGGCTGAAAAGGAGTTCCAGAGGCTGATTGCAAGTGGGGTCAAGTCAAACCCAAAGGCATTTTACCGCTATGCAAAGTTGAAATTAAAAACGCAAGTAGGAGTATCGTGTCATAGTCACAATAGCATGGCTAGTCTGTTTATCACTTAATAATTCATATTATGCTCCACCGTCCACTAACATGTGTAAAACTAATGAGTTACCCCTAGAGAGAGACGTGTTTTCTCTAGCATTAGGTGCTGTCCATTTTCTATAACCCCCCGAAACCTCTCTACAAAGTAAATTTGAATTTAAGAGATAACCTGTATGAGTAGCCATAAGTCAGATATACCTACAGCGAGATAAAGCATTCAAGAAGTATTGAGTATAAGTTGAAAGCATCATATATCTTTATGTTTAGAGTACATAGGGTTAAGACGATATGTTTTGAGTACCCAATCACCAGCTGTAGTCAGTCTATTGTTTCTCGTGAACTTACGAGATCATAGTTCAAAACTGAAGTCACCTTTTTGGTCTGTGAACATCAGAGAATAATGTAATTGTTATAAGTATGGTAATATGGTAAGGACAGTCTAGCGTCCTTACCTGAAGCTGACGGACGCTCGCCCCACAAGAGGTTGAGCTGCAAGTCCAGAAAACTGAGAGGGCAAACTTTTTCGGAATGAGAGTTGTGAACTCTTGGAACAACCTGCCTGAGAGTTGTGACGGCACCGAGTGTGAGCTGTTTCAAGACCAGACTTGACCAGCACTGAAGCAGGTTAAGATACATTCAGGAGCCAGTTCTTGCCAACAGTACGTAACAGAGAAGTGACCGATCGCCCAAGCGGCTAACGAGGCGATCAGTGGTGAAGAGGATAAAAGTAAAAAGTAAGTAAAAGTAGAATATTGTGACTTGACCAACACTGACGCAGATATAGATAAATTCTGTAGCCTGTACATGCCCAGTACTTGCTAATAGTATTTAATAGAGACGTGACCAACCGCCCAAGCAGTCAATATTGTTGTCAATATCTGAATATAGTCAATTACACTAGAAAATGAAGGTCGTAACATGCCCAGGACAGACCGCGTAACGGCTAGTAAGCTGATAAGTGGTAGAAAAGATAATTAAACTTAGGAATACTCCTTGCGTGTACAGTATATAATCCGTAGATTTACCGTTAGTATTTCAGCTAGTAATAAGTTAAATCAGGTCCTCATTTTTGTTAGTTGAAGCAAGCTGTAAGCATCGGAAGCTGTAATAAATGACTTAACTACTGCACCATAAACCTAATTGGTGGGGATGAAAAATGTTCAACTGTGGCGCCGTAGGTGTGCACTCTGCGCCTGCGCACTGAGGCAGGAGCACACAAGCGAAGGGAGCGAACTTCACAAGGCCGCTCATTTAGGAGGTAATTTAATGTATATGAACCTAATCCTTGAATTACAAACGCTATGTATTTAAGTATGAATATCCCCACTATCCACCAGAAATGAAAAATTAGGAGAAATTATCTTCATAACTCGTTAACGAGGTGAATAGTGAGGGTTAGGTTGCGTGGTGTGGATCAATGGCTGGCAAGATGCATGTATGCGTGGGGCAGACATCAGCTGGGCGCCCTCACATGCCGGCCGGCCTTAATTTTATACACCCTCACATGTTAGGCTAAGTATGGATATTACTAGCACAGGAAGCCAGGCAGAATATCCAATGTTACTGCCACATGGGTGAGGTTGAACAATTGAGGGTATGATATTATAGATGACAGTTCATTATTATTGTTGACTTACATCTCACATATTGCTGTCCAAAATCATAATTATAATATTAGGGATTATGTGTTAAGAGAGAGATTTATAATATTGCAAAGTGGAAAGACCCTTAAAAATTTTAAGTTACAAAATGATTGTCAGATCGATCACCTTGTCAGTGTTAAGAGCCATTTATTGACAAGTTAGCTAAGATTTAAGTTTATAAGGTTCATACAGACCATGTACAGTATATATCATTTGTAAGAAAACGAGACAAACAATGCAAGGCAGACCAAGCCCAGGTGGTAATATTGCAGTAAATATCAACTACAGAATTTCGGAAATTCACTACAGTACACCCAATCGATAGAACCATTTTTTCTATGGTAATTTTCTTATGCAGTATTACATGGGGTTAGTTTAGGTAACACAACACTTTTTTATCAGATTCTTTGGTGCTGTAATCTGAAATTTTAATGCACAGGTTTTCAGTAGGAGGTATGTTGATTTTTTTCCTTGTACTTGTGTTATTATTTTATATTTGGGGTCATACTGAGAGTAGCTGTACTATGAATTTGTGTAAAAAAAAAAAGTAGGTGACTTTGTATTGAATGAACAATATATGGGCACCATTATTAACAGTTGACAAGTCTGGGAACTTCCTAAATTACCAGGTATTGGTACATTACATAATTTATAGCTCGTAAATTGAACTAAGCTAACATGCGTAACCTTACCTTAATTACTGAAGTGATCTTCTATTTTGTAAAGGAAGACAAGATAAATAATGTGTTATGCTGCTGTTTACGGTATATTTGGTAATACTGGCTCAAAGGGCTAATACCAAGAGGAGTGGTTTGATATTGTTAATTTTTTTCCACGTGTTCTTTGAATGATAGTAATAAAATTAGGTAATTTTTCGGATTGGACCATCAGCTGTTTTTCATTGAAAATGATTCTAAAAATAACCAGTTTTTACTTGTTTTAGGTAATTATTTATGACTATACCTGTACAGCCGTTCATTTTTCATAGAAAATTAATTTAAAAACGGTGCAATTTCACTGTTTTATAGTGGACACTGTTGTAGTTGTGGTAAATGTGTTAATTTTATTAATTTATTTTTTCTTACTATGTTTTCATAAGTGAGTTTCGATGTGATAATCATTTCTTGTGCAAATTCTTCGTTTGGTAGATAATTAGGCGCCTAGGTGTGCACTACTTTGTCTTCGGCGGTAATACGGTGATGACGTCTCATCCCCGGATGTAAACATCCAATCATATTGACGTAGTGTATTTAAAAACACTCCCCTGCACCGCTCCAATCGAGGCTTATGCTCAGTGTACTTTATGAGCTGCATGGGTCCGGGTGGCTGCTCTCACGTAAAAAAAAAAATGTAAAAATACACCATATCATAGTAAGTTCTTTCTGTTTAATATGCTAAGGGGTGCGGGGGCTGGAGCACCACGGCTAGGAAGTTAGGTAAGGTTTAGTTGGTTTCTTTGGTTGGGTTGGTGAAGTCTTCTAACATCGCTTCTGCCGCTTGTTTTTCTTGTCAACTGAGGTTAGGTTAAAATTATAAATAACCATTTTTACCACATTTGCACAAACTACGACAGTGTCCACTATAAATCGGTGAAATTGCGTCATTTTTTATGATAGTTTTTTTATGAAAAATTGCTGGCGGGTGAGTCATCAGTAATTACAGAATACATGTAAACTAATATGTCAGGTCTTGTCTTGCTTTCTTGCACCCCTAACTGTGTGGAGGGGGGGGGAGGGGTTATTTATTTGTCGTTTTCTTTTGTGCCTTTTTTTTTCTCTTCTCTCTCATTTTGATTTTAGTTTATCCTTTTAGCATTAAGTCTATCTGGCGCCTTATGACCTTGACTGTTGCGGCACTAAGATTGTATTCATAATCATTCATTCTTGCACACCCCCTGGAAAAAAATTTGCAACGCTGATGGCTTGAAACTATGTCTTAAACCTAGTTAAGGAGGCTGTTTTGTGAAGAATTTCAAATTAATGGATACCTGTATTATTCTTATTGGTATAGCTAGATCTTACAAATTTAAAGGCATATTTTTGTTGCAGTGCAGTATGTTCAAAAGGTTGTTAAACTGTTTTGAATGTTTTCTGAACTTAATGTCTGATATGTCAGTTTTTGTACTGAGAGGCCAGTTACAGTAGTGTGTGCCATCAAATCCAATCTTTATATAAAAGTAAAATATTTGTATGTAGTAAATCAAAGTGTCTGAAAAATACAGAAAATCTAATAACTATTTCTTTAATTAAAGTTAGGTGGGCTGGAGGGCTACGTAGAGTCCAAGAAGTGTGTCGAAGTGTGGCATGTTCCCCCGTCTCTTGTGAGGACCTCCCTGCGGTGACACGCGCCATCGTTATTATTCCACGCACAGCTCCACCATCATCTTCATAAAACACTATTCAAACAGAAGCAAAAATGTATCATCAACCACCACCAAATGTTGACTCAACTGCCTCAATTGAGGTAGGTGTTGTAATGTTAAACTTGTATGAATTTGTATTTTTTGCAAGGTACAGTAATCAAACTTATTTTTGCTTTGAGTAAAAAAAAAAAAAGGCAGGGATTTTATATTTGTAAAATAAAAATGTTAAGGAGAATTTATTTTCTTCTAACAGGGTATGCCTGGAGCTCTGCCATCCAAAACGCCTGTGTCACTTCTTCAGGAGTTATGTATGCGACGAGGAATCTCTCCAAAATATGACTTGCTGCAGATAGAGGGTGCTGTACATGAACCAACTTTTGTCTACAGAGTCACGGTTGGAGAGTTTGCTGGTAGGTATATAAGCTCCTTTTCTTCAAATGTTTGCCTCCCTGTCAGAAACTTATTAGACTGGTAATTGTTTATGACGACAGCCACTGATTTTTCATTGAAAACGAATTTAAAAATGCTGCAATTTCACTGTGTTTTATAGTGGACACTGTCGTAGTTATGGCAAATGTGTTAAAAAGTGTGTAATTAAAAGTTAACCTAACCTAACCTTAAGCTAAACTAACTTAATTCCTGCTGTAGGCGAACTTACTGTTACTGAGATGGGGGGAAACGGTTGTGAAGTCCTCCATATTTACCATTAGACTTGGTAGACTATCAAACTCAAGGCATTTGTGATTGCATTAATTCATCACTTTGATTTTTTCTCTTCAGTTATACTGTAGTATTCCAAAACAAAGACGAAGAAGACAGAAAACTGTATTTTCTGATTACCATTATTCTAAGAATTTACCTAACCTAACCCTGGTGGTGGGAGTGATAAATAGATATTTAATTTCTAAAATATTTATGCAAAATCAATTTGATTCAGTAAGTTCATAAACAGTTTGAGCCTACAAGCAACAGTGTGTCTATATGCCATAGAATATGGAATGCTTCAATGTTACGAGGGGGTTAGTGTCCGGAGGTAAAAAAAAAAAATACCCCACTAAACAACAGGTAGCCCCACTTGACACCAGAGATACATTCCTAAAAAATATCTCATGCTATACGGATCCAAAAAGCCTTTGAGAGTCGTGTTAAAGGTGAGAGATACTTGTTGGAAGGAAGGTGTGTGAGAACGGTAGTATGGGATACAGCCCAACAATGTACAGTACATTAAAAAATTATTTTAAGGCACTACTCATTCTCACTTCAACACTAATTCCATTATTTTGAACTCTCTTCAATAAATTGTAACTCAACTTGAGTCTGAACAATTGGTCACCTGATGAAAATAGTTCCCCCACCCTCAATAGATGGCAGCACGAGTGGGCAAGTTTGTCTGCTAGCACAGGCCCACCACTGTGCCGTTCCTTCATGATATGAGTCACCTGAACAACTACAGTCCAGGAAGCAGTTATTCAGACTTGGAGTGATTTATAATTTATTAAAAAGTATATGAAATGTTGTAATGGAATTAGTGTTGAATTGAAAAAAATACAGTAATGTCTTAGGAATTTTTTAGTGTATGTTTTTGGGCTGAGCTCCTGTTTCCTGTTCTTTCAGTCTCTGTCTTTCCTTTCACTGTGCACCTCTCAGTTTTTATTTTTAGCACAAATTTGCACAGGACAAGGTGCTTTAGGAACATTTCTCTCATGTGAAGTGGGGACTACCTGAATTGGCCTTGAAGTATAACTGTGATCGAATTAAATTTGAAGAATTTTGTGAATAATCAGATTATTTCTTAATATTCTGTTTTATGTAAATAAGTACAGTTACAGACAGGTCAGATAATGATGTAGATATATTTTCCAGATTCCCAGTTTAATGAAGTTTCATTGTAATAGGGGTGTCCTTGTACTGTATGTGTACAGTGGGGTATGCTATAACGAACGGATCCTACTACGAATATTCCTATAACGAACGGTTTTACCTATAAAATTGAGAATGCTATAACGAACGCAACTCCTACAACGAACGCGGATGAATACGGGACTATTTTGCCTGGCGCATGAATATTGTTGTACCGCGACCCACAACAAGAGCGTCAGGCGCCATCTTTGTCTCATTGTGTAGCCAGTGCACCACTGTTATTGTTGAAATTTCGTCTTTTGATGTGGAAATTCGCGTTATTTGTATAACTATTTTGTTATACAAGTATACAATTGTAACAATGAGTCGTCCAAAGCGAGTGAGAAAGCTAATAACCCTTGAAACTAAGAAAGAAATTATAAAGAAACGTGAGAATGGAAGAAGCATTGCGAAACTTAGTGATGAATATGGGATGGCTAAATCGACTATATGTACGATTTTGAAGAATAAAGAGGAGTTAAAAACTGTGCAAGTGGCTAAGGGAATCTTTAGACTTAGCAAAGCAAGGTGTAATGTGATTGAAGAGATGGAAAATTTACTCTTAGTGTGGATAAAGGAGAAAGAAATGGCAGGTGGTAACATTAGTGAAGCTATAATTTGTGAGAAGGCTAAACAATTGTTTGAGGACCTTAAAGCCAAGACTCCCAGTGGAAGTGATAGTGATGTGCCAGTGTTTAGGGGTACCTGCATGCTGAATAACACTAAGGTAAGATAAAGTACCGTATTTTTTACATTTTCCACAGAATTTTTTCAGTGTTAAGCGGTTGTATTTGGGGGCCTGGAACGGATTAATCCTATAACGAACGAATGCTATAACGAACGAGGTTCTGGAACCAATTACGTTCGTTATAGCATACCCCACTGTATTTTTGCATACTTAAGTACTTAATACAGTATTCATTCATATAACTTTTAATGTGACTAATGGTGTAGTACTTTGTTCTAGCTAATGGATCAGGGCAGAGTAAGAAGAAAGCTAAACATGCTGCAGCAAAAGCAGTACTGGACATAATTATTCAGGGTGGCGCTGCTGGAGCTGGTGGACCTACAGCTGGTGGAGCGCCTGGGGCACCACCTGAGCTGTAAGTCATTTTGTTAACAGTTAAATAAATTAATTGATAAAGGGTGGAATTACTAAACCAAGCTTTTAGTTCATCACTTTCCATGTACCCAAAGAAGGGTGTAGTACAGTACAGTGTGAGGGTAATGTCTCGACCTTTCTTTAATACATTTGCCTAAACAAGTGTTCAGAATTTTTCTTGAAACTTGCATCTTGGTAATCTCTTATCTAATGCATTTCATTAGGTAAAGGCCTTTCAGATAGTACTGCTCTTTTACTCTCTTGAGTTATGTAGTTTTAGGTTGTGTTGGTTTATTTTAGGAAGAAAAAAAAAGATGATTTTGCATAATTTTCAGGAGATGGAGATATACCAAGAACTGAGTTAATATACATCTAGTTATCAATAAAATATATATATTTTTGCCGTTGGTTTTGTGTAGCATCTGCTGTATAACAATAGATTATTCTTTATTTCAGATCCACTCAGATTGTCTCACCATATGATGATGGTATCCCAGGGAACCCAGTTGGATCCTTGCAGGTGTGTATGACATCCACATTATATAATACTGTATACTGTACACACAAAACCCTCAGTACTTCAGAATAATAGGAGCTGTACCCTTGTTGAAATGAGTAATAACCTGGTTGTGTAAGGTACTGATATATTCAGAATTTTTAATGGGAAAAGTTTTAAGTTTCAACGGAGGAATAAAAGTTAATGGTAAAGTAATATCAAATACTGTATATTCTACACAGATGATACTGCTCTTATCACGGATAGTGAAGAGGCGTTGCAAAAACTGGCTAACAGATTAATGGGAAATGGGTGAAGAATATGGGTTAAGAGTTAATGCTGTAAAGATGATAGTAATAGTTGTTTCAAAATTGAAAATTATTTTCCCAAACAAAAAATTAGGATAGGCAACAGGAAACTTAAACAAATGGAAAATTTTATGTACTTTATGTGTGAAGTAATATTACCTGTGAAGGTAGATGTCTGAAAGAAATAACAAAAATAGGCCAAGCAAAAACATCTTTTAATAATCTAAAAGGCCAAATAATATATATACACACACACACACACACACACACACACACACACACATTACTGTCGCATTTATTTTTGAGTGTACGAGTGAATTTGCGTTGATGGAGGGCTTACTGCATAGTGTACACTATAATATATAATACACTTAGAAGGAACCAGGAGAGGATTATAAATTATCTCTATTTCAGTAACATTGTAATTTACTTGCATCTTTTGACAACTATTTGGTTAGTTTTGTAAATCCCAATTTGTTATGTTACAGGAGCTGTGCATGGCGCGTCGGTGGCCCCCTCCCACTTATGATCTTACCTCGGAGGAGGGTTTCCCTCATGAGCGAACTTTCTCCATTGCTTGCACCATCGGCAATACAAAAGAAATTGGTAAAGATTTTTTATTTTGGATTCATTTATGAAACTTTTTTTTTTTTTTAAGTTTTTATGTGTATTAGATAATATGTTGCTTTTATAGTTTGACACCTTTGGTTGGGGCTCTCATTAATGTGCTAGCCTCTAAGGGCATCACTCAGACCCTGAGTTGACAGCTGGAGGATGACCTTATGATCATACTGTACATCCCTTTGTATCATAACTATCACCTTGATAAATGTTTTCCTTTGGAGGCATAAGGTTAAACTACTAAAGCCATACAACCCAGTCAAACATTGCACCACTGCTATGGCTCATCTCACCCCTGCTTGACAATAAAGCTGCTCATGCTATTTGGACCGATTTGCACCTTTAGAATAATTATCAGTGTATATAACTAGGTGTCTTGAGATTGATACACGACTGTTTGTGTACATGTATTTTCTGTTCTCCATATATTCCAGGAACTTCCACGGCATATCCCTTGTGGTTCCCTCTTCCTTTGTGTATATGCTTGCATCAACCATTAGTACAACACCCCCCTCCCCAAATAGAAAATGATGCCATACTCTGCTCACTTATGTACAGTAGCTAAAGAAGTGTCTAACAGGGTGGGTACGTATAACTCGTGATATCTTGGGAGGGTTGGTATGCGTGTCTTCACCTACAACCTTTCAGTATCCAACTCAGTGGGTGGGTTGACATATAGGAATAAAAAAAACGGTCAAGTGATTACTATCACATAGTATAAAGAGACAACACACACAGTATACACAGATACTTTTTAGCTACTGTACATTGCTGCTTTCATGATGGATACCCCCACCCCCCTTCCTGCCTTTTCTTTTACCAGTCCTTCACTTCACATTCTTTCAGTATATAAACATCACCGAACCATATTCTGATCTCTCTCTCTCTCTCTCTCTCTCTGTGTGTTTTGTTAAATTTCTTGCAATTTCATCAGGTGCCTTGAAGGTTTATGATTTGATGTGTTTTTGGTTTTCAATCTTGCTATTTTGTTCAGTTACCTTGAAAAAATATGTTTACCTCATAATACTGAATGTAGATGGTGAAGAAGCTGTTTTTCCTTGGATTTAAATATCCTGGATCAGATATCTACTATTCCTTCTCTTTCCCAGCTGCTTCAAGTGATCTCAAAGATGAAACAGTTTTGAGGTATCTCTACACTGGTTGCTGTCTTTTAGATGGGTAGGATGTAGCGTCCCTTAATGAATAAGCTTTATCAGAGTGCTATTCAGCTTTCTTCTCCAAAGTTTAGGCATAAAATGGGTGGAGACATGGTTTTTCACCCTTGCTAAATACCCACCTAGTTCTGGCTGGTTAGTTAGTTATTGGGGGAGAGTGTGGGTTACCACAGTCTTATGGTTGATGTGGTCATGATCAACTGTTGGTCCGTTTTACTCTACTCCCTGGCTCCACTTCTGGAGATCCTGTTTGGCCCCTACTTCCTAATTATATCATCATCCTGAATATTAGGAATTCATTTCCATAGCTTGGGACAACATAAGAGTTTTATGTAGGTAATGGGGAGTCTTTGAGATAATTGCCTGCCATATAGTGATTGGTACTTCTTTCAGGGTTTGATCCTGAAATCCCATTTCTTGATAACCAGTGAGTGATCCCACATCCCACCTGCCTCCCTGGGATTTCCTTGGTGTTTAGCTGAAGCTATTGTGTAGTTGCTGTGAGCCTGGTTTCCTGTTTTGTCAAATGTGGTGTGGTCTGTGGAGTAAAAAGAATAAACTACACAGCATCTTGACTTTTCACACTAAGGAAATATAGCAAACCATGACCTCTGATATCTCATTTTAAGAAATGGTTGTCTTGTGGGAGTGGTTGATTTCACATTATCACCATTTGTCATGGTCTAAGGGTTTATTGGGAAAACCTCATAAAAGCCTTGTTATAAAATGTGTTTTCAGGATCAAAACCTCATTTCTAGTTGAACCTCTAGATAGGCAGCTCAGACTTTGTCACTCATCCCATGGGTTCATATTTACTCAGCTAGAAACTTAAAGCAAGGTGATACTTTGCTCTTGAAATCAGAGATACTGACTATTTAATTCCGCTGTAACTAAACCTCTTACCGACAGTGGGCAACTTTTGATTCTACTCTCTCTTCTTAGAGATGGGTGATGTTAAGATGAGCCATCAGCTGTCAAATGGGGATGTGGCATGATGGCCAAACCCTCTAGAGGCTTAACTAGATAATAGAATTTCAGGATCAGTTCTCCATTTATGAATATTTACTACTCTTGGAGGTTTCAACAGGTACAGGTAAAAGTAAGAAGCTTGCAAAGCGACAGGCAGCATACAAGATGACACAGCGGTTGAAGGACCAACCCGTAGAGCAACCCCAAGTTAACATGTTAGCTGACGACGACGATGAGGTAATACATCTGAATGACTTGCCTTGCTAAACTTGCATGATAATATATGTAATGAGCTTGTGGAAGAGGAGGAATCTTGTGTTAATAATAACCATCTGTTCCTGGACTTGAAATAGGCTTCAATAATTTCTAATTACAAAGATTGGCCATACATTAATTCAAAAATTAAAACCCTTCGAATGCAGTAGACAAGTATGAATTTTATTTGGAAAAGTTTGATTACCAAATGATTCTAATACCTGCCAAGTACTGTAAACAACTAAAAATATTACTATTCTTTTTAGCTGTAAATTTCATGATTATCCAAAATCACCTAGTGGCAGTGGAGGAGGGGGGGGGGCTGTGAAAGGTACTCACAAAATGTCTTTCATGGGCACATGTAGGGACTAATGTAATCATGCTAATCATAAGGGAAATGCTTATGTCATTGATACAAAAGGATTTTATAAATTTAAGATCCAAGAAGATTGAGATATTTGAAGATAACAAAAGAGGATGTGGACAAGTCATTGGACATTTGTAAATGGAAAATTATTGTGAAGAAAAAACATTTAAATCTGTTTTTGGTGAAAATTATGTAACAGTGATAATAATGAAAGACATAACAGGAGGTAATGGGAACAAACCCATTATCTGCCTCAGTGCAGGA